AGTTTTGCAAAAAGACGATGCAGTTGCAGTTTTGCAAAAAGATAACGCGGTTGCAGTTTTACAAAAAGACGACGCGGTTGCAGTTTTGCAAAAAGCGATGTAGTCCTTTAGAAAGATATAATTGTAGTTTATATTATTATAAGCAATAATACATAACTATTGAATTACCCTTGTGTATAGGGGTTCGGTGGTTAGGTGGGTGCGCAGAAGTACATGAACTTCGATTTGAGGTATCCCTGAAGCCATACATATCCTTAAGGAAGAGGGGCAGTAAGGGTGTAGCACTACTACCCCATTAAGTGCATGGTACCTCCCCTGTACTAATGCAGCATATTGTATTTCTTGAAGTAGTATAAGGCGCTGTACATATATTGAATTGTTTTTTTTTTTTTTTTGCGTCTTCCTTATGTACCTGTAGGGCTCTATATGCAAGGGTTATCTAATATGGCTAGTGTTGTTTATCTCCTTGGAGCGTCTGGGTATTAGGTTATTGACACACGCTTTTAGATGGAAAAATACAACGGCCAAAAACACAATTGGATCCTATATTAAGAGCAGCCGCGGCGACGTATAAATTCTCTTCCTCTGCTCAAAATTGGTAAACCAATCTTATACAATTGAATTACATTTTACCAGATTCTCACAACTCTCAATCAATACTCTTAATCACGAATACTAATTACGTTGCACTGAAAATGCCGGATCATCAGAATGATAGCTCAAAGAACGAAGTGTCAGCAGACATAAATCCAGAGAACATCTCAGTACAGGGTAGCTCTCTAACAGGAGACTCGTCAAGTAATTTTATTCAAAGTAATTCTAACTCCTCTTTGAATCCTGTTTCTCATTCTTCATATAGATAATTTGACTGATATAAACGAAACTACCATCCCCTTATTTGAAATAGCTGGGGCGAAGATGGACGAATATAAAGTTCAATGATATCGATATGAATTGATATATTGGAGAGTAGCAGAAATAGAATATAAGCATATTTTCACAAGGAATTGAGCATGCAGAGATTAATTTTCTCTTTATACACTTTAACCGGCTTCCGTGGCAATAACCAATACAATCCTTCGTCGCCGAGTCGTTATTAATCTCCTCACGAATCACTAATCCTAGACACCAATGGAATAGATATTGAGATATAGGAGATAGGAGTAGTCGGGGATAGCATTGTACCCTCCGAAAGCAAGAAATATGACCCAAAGCTCCACTCAACTGGCACTTGAACGCGTGTGTCCTGGGGAGTTATGCGTATGCGAGATGGCTGATCCGGCTTAACAGTAGGTATAACGACTTGAAACACACCCGATGGGGTTTTAATCCCACCAGAAATGTGATATATGGAAAGCTTATATCTGAAAATATCTTTTCTTTTCTTCATTATGTTCGAATCGACCTTTTCGGTTAGTATAAAGAACGCATGCTAGAATCAAGAACTTACTAAATCTTTAATCGCCTGATCAGCAACGGCATCGTGGAGGTTGGGGATCCAATCATAGGCATACAATTCATCGCTAAATATTGCTGTAATTTTTTTTCCCCTTTGGCGCTTGCCGACCTTCTCTGCCTTTCGCAAAAGTTCTTCTTCGGCAGCGAGAGCCATATAAGGGCCGATAGGGATGTTAAGAGTAGTTAAACTCATATTCTCTAATTGACCAAGGCCAGTATTATTGTTACCCTCATAGTAGTCTTTCGTAGCAAGATTCAAGTCCAGTGGTTGAATTGTAATAGACTGAATAGGATCAAAATGCCTACTTTGGCCTATTTTACGCCGTTCTAAAGTGCTAGGCGGCTTAGAAGGAAGTGAGAGAGTGTGCTGCTATGACTTGTTTAATAAAGAAAACTTGGTAGGACTGATACTATTGTTTTGTACCGCTCTGAGCTCTTTCTGCATACTTACTTCTGTATGAGCGGTATTCGAACTGGGTACAGCTTGATTTGATATTGCTGCCCTATGAGAAGACTTTATTGTGCTATTGTAGAACTCGATGGACTCGTTTTCCACGGCCTTGACAAATTCTCTGTACTCATCAGTACCATAAGTGGAAGTTTTCAGGACTTCGCAAACGTTTTCGTAGCTGCTCCTTGTATTAGAAAATGTAAATCAATAGGGCGCTAATGTGATACCTTAAGGAGAATGGTTCTTTACGATGCGTTAGGAGATAGCAGACAAAGAAAGGTATATATAATGGTAATGAGACTTGGATTTCCGTGAGGTTTTCTCCTAGAGGCTTGCATTTACGAAAGCACTTCGTAAATCTCTCGGTATCATTCATATATTTTTCAAGATACCTTGGTATCAATGGTGCTTTTCACATTAGTAATCTCATATTTTATATAGGATCATATGTCATACCATAAAGCAGAATGGCTTCAAATGAGCGACTTCGAAGTTTATCTTTATATAGTTTATCCATCTCCTCGATTAGCTTCCTTACTTCTCTGGCTTTCTTGTTAAGGGTGTCTTTTTTCAAGGGTTTCGATCGCCGACTGAGAAGTTGCCTGACATAATAGTAAAAACTATCTGCATCTTGCGCCTTTGTCCGAATCACTTCGTGTGCCGCCAATAAAATGATTCTTTGTATCATGCCAATTCTCCGATTAGCATCAACTATAAAATCAGGATTATGTTTAAGCAGTGGATCAATCGCTTCGCGAACTAAAGCGATCATTCTTGGAGTATCATTGAACGTATACTTCCTGCTGTCTTTCCACTTTTCCTCAGAATCTGGAATACTCTGATCGAGCTCCTTCCAGGCTTGTTCATCCGTGTTCTTATGCTGTCGCTGAGGAGTTGGCCCCTGGTAGCCTTCTATAACGATACCGCCAGCCAGGTTGAGTTGCTCTAGGGGCATCTTGATACAGGGTGGCTCCAGATTCTGCTTTGAGACCCATAGGAACAAATGTTAAGATCTGTAAACAAAAATGAAGCAGCAGTGTGACGGGATCAGACTGTGATGGGTTTAGGCAGCTTTTCGGCATATTTTTAATCCGATCAGTGATAACCGCCCCGCAATTACTAGGGCGGTCTCCAGGTGGCGTAATGCTGTCGACACTCCCCACCTCTACACCCCTAGAGATCTCAGATACCCTCGCGTTAATAGAACACGGAGAATGTGAGAAGTATGGAGTCTAGCAGTCTAATGTCTAGCCCATGCACTGTGCATCTCATGCCCCTATGCCCTCTTCCCTTCTAAACCCAGTCCAGGGCGCAACATAAGCTGGCTTTCAATCTATAACTCCGGGAAGAACACCCCTAAGAGTTATGTAGAGAGACTACAGAGCAAAACGATGTTAATAGGAGGAATAGGTTAAGCGAAGCAGACCACAGGCATATACAGTCAAGATTCACAGGCGATGGGCTACCGAACAGCGGTAATGGGAGCAATCATCATAAAAACAAGTGAGCGAACCGACATATTTCTACAAATGCCGGCTGCGCCTATCGAATATCCTTTAAGGCTTGAAAATGCCGCTGTGGGTGGTGTGGCACACTCGACGGTGAGCTTTCTAGAGTAGCTGCCTCCAGTTTACACATTATCACGTTATGGGGCACTCATGCATGCACTAGAGCATTTGCGTGCTAAGAGGGAAATATAATCGCAAAAAAAGGCTCAGGGGTTAGCCAGATGGGACGGCCTTGTGGTGCCATTGCGGCCATTGTGGGAAGCGGTTAGCCCTTGCGTCCTAATAGGTGTTCACAAGATAAAAAATGGCACGTTCTTCATATCATTCCCCGACCCTTGCTTATTTCGATAGTCGCGCAGCTAATACTAAGCCGGGAGCTCTCTTCCTTACCTCCCTACTTAATTGGCTTATATATCTGAGGAGCAGATCCAAGACCAGGTGGATTTCTAAGTTACAGTCCTTTTTCGTAACTTCAAAGGCATATCACTTCCTCGATATACTCCCAACAAGCCGCAGTTTTAAACTGACCCTATGTTACCCATCATTGTCGCTTTCTATATTCAGCGTGGCAAATCCTTGCAGTCGGCGGCTTCTAGGATTAATAATTCGATGGCAAACTCGACCTTGCCTAGTATTGTTCTAGAGAACCCCTATGGCTTTTTAAAGTCTATCCACTCTACCAGTATTAAGTTCATTTCCGAGGAGAAATTTGCGGGCTGTTTCGGTCCTGGTCCACTAAAGGAAGCGGATATCTATACAAAACCTAGCTACCTGGCTTCAGTTTTGCATGATGACTGTCTCTAAGTCAAGCCTTTTTCAACAAAGGTTATCCAAGCCGCGGCCTTCCAATGCTGCTCTTAAACAATCACATTCTTTAAAGAGCTGCGACCGGGGCATTAAGAAGCAAATATCCATCTTTGGTAGATTTCCAGAGGGAAAGAAATCTCACGCCGGCTGCTGTGCTCTACCATCTGAACCCAACCACATCTGCAGTGTAGAACGCGGCGAGTGCATTCATGGAAGCGCCAACAACGGCGATGAGTGTTTTAGTCAGAGAGACTCCGTCGGCTCCCTAGCTAGCAGCCAAAATCTACTATCTAGATCCAAGCAGATCTCCAGCAATCTAAACAGTCAGCCCATCGATGCCGACTCTGCTATTGGTTCTGATACTGAGAACGAGTGCTTTGATGAGAGTGCCATTGAGGACGACGATGAGTCTTCTGACTGGGAGGACTCTATCGACGAGAGCGGAAAGCCCACCGTTGATGAGAAGTTCTTCCAGCGTGTCGGGCCGAAGGTTAACCTGGCTTTACGACCGTCGCTCATTACTCTGATGATAGCTAGCGACCGTGCTAAGAGCCTTGGCAGCTACGCATCATATTCTCTTTCTGCGCTTTCCAGATCTTCCCTGGCTAACGACGGTCCTCTTATAAGAAAGGGCACTTGCCAGACAACGCTAAAGCCCATCAACGAAATTCCTCGATCCAACGCTCAGCCTATTGCTACTAACAACCACGTACATGCCCAGGCTGCGCTCTCTCCCCGAACTACCTGCCGCAACATTCTCGCTACTGAGCTTACCGAGTCTCTCCGACGCCACCTTCTCTGGGAACGACAGCAGAAGTCGTCTACTGCCAACGCTGTCCTCAAGCGCAGGCACATATCTCACGATGTTGCCAACCTCAAACAGTACCCTGAGCGACCATGCCTGAAGCAGAGCGAAGATGTCAACGCGAGCGAGTTTGATCAATACTTCATCGATCTTGGGAACCAAAAGGGATTCAACTGCGAGGGATGGTAGTGCGGCTATGGAATATTTTAAAGCAGATTTGAGGGATAAACAGCTCAAGATATGAAGTTCTTCAATGAGGTAATGGATAGATTCCGTCTCATAGGCGTGGATAAGAAGTCAATAACGCAGCTGGAGGATCTGGTCTCTTATACGAGTGTTGCTAAAAAAACAACTGGGACAATGATGAGTGTTCTTATAGTTTGATCTCATAAGCCTCTGTAACGACATCGAGTTAATCCTAGTAGTATAGCCAAATGCCCGGGGCGAGATGGCATAGCGGTCCCGATCGATACCTTTGCCACTAAATGAAACTTTGCATTTCTCAAGCTAAAATAGAAGGGAAGCATTCAGAAGTACTTTAGAGCATTAAACCGGGTTTTCTTAGTGGATAACTATTAATTTTAGCAGGTGGGATTGGAGCATAATGCATCGATGCGATTTCATTTTACCCTATAAAATCACGTTATTCACTTACCTTCTAGAGCATCGGCCAGTGAATTATACTAAGACACCCCTCAGCTACCGGATGTAAGCAGTAAGCACCCGATTGGTCAATGTGATTGGGTCTGGTCTAATGTTCGGCGATCAGAAAGAGTTTTAATGCGCTGTCCCTGAGCTTTGTCACTTCAGCTGAACATTACCTGTTGGTTCCACTTTTAGTGACCGCTCAAAGCTGGTCACTAAAAGTGGAACCAACGGGTAGTAAAAGGGAGGGCTACAAAGTACCACTTACTCACTAAGCGAATTTGGAATGGTGTATATCTGATCTACACTTATATAAGGTGTCTTTGTGCCTCACAACAAGGTAACACCCGAAATTCTATTACAACAATGAGGACTATGCCTGATGCCGATATTTTCCAGTCCGAAGAGGCAACCAGCTCATCGGAAATGGTCTGAAACCCATCATGAAGACAAAGACAAGCCCTTCGCGACATTAACAGAAGTCATAGAATCCTGCTGGACTTAATATTTCTGGAGCTGCAGACGATGCGGACGACGTCGATTCGACTTTTAGTGAAGATGAGTCGTCCAGTGCCTCGTTAGCCGACGAGGTAGAAGATTATAGGATAATAAAAAACAGAAGATATCACAGTATCAACGAGTTCACTGGGGAAACGAAATACTGGTAAGCAATTCCAACTTTCCATATTGTGATAGCTAATAACTAATAACATTGGGAAGGGGGTGTAACGACGATAAACAGAATATGGTGCAAGAATGGACGTAAGTTCATCAATACATGTCTTCCAGGATCCGTGCAAGCTAATTATAAAGCCATGAAATGTTCTTATGCATTCTTAGTGGAGAGCTTCATTTAGCACCACTTTCAGATAATGCAGAGGTAACAAACCGGCATTGTTCTTATAAAGCATTTCTAACATTCGATAATAGAAAGTGCTAGATATTGGAACTGGAATCGGTAAATAACCCTCTCTGTTATATACTTGGAGTAACTAACAAGTACATGGTATAATAGGATGCTGGGCCATGTACGACATAATGACCGTAACTAACGACAAAGAGTTCAGCTAACCAGAGAATCAGAGATTTTGCTGACAAGCACAAAAATGCAGTTGTTATTGGTACCGATATATCACCAATACAGCCACAATGGGTGCCACCAAACCTCAAATTGTAAGTAGCTCTAATTAGTAATTATGTAAATATTAACTTTCGTATTTTAGCTGTATCCAAAATATTTCTCACTGGAATTTCTCGAATAATGATATCGATTTTGTTCATTGCCGCTTGCTAAACGGCTGCATTCCTGATTGGTATACCTACTTTCAAAAGGTATATGGAAGCCTCAAGCCTGGTGGCTGGTTTGAGAGTCACGAAATTTCGCCACATATTCGCAGTGATAACGATTCTGTTCTTGGAAATAGCGCTATGTCTCGATGGGGGTCTCTTTTCGTAGATGGAGGTAAAATATTAGGCCAACCATTTGACATTGTGGAGCAAGGCGTCCAAAAGGAGGCAATGGAGGCAGCCGGATTCATTAATATACGAGAGGAAGTATATAAGGTGACTCTTCATCCTAACTACAACTTGGAGCTTGTATCCGGCTAACTCGATCGATCGAAGATTCCAATTGGTGGATGGCAAGCGAATAAAGACTTACAATCAATCGGAACCTTGATGAAAAATGCTTTAGAAACTGACTTGGAAGGCACAATGCTCTTTATGGCTGTTATGCTGGGATGGTCCGATGCTCAGAGAGATACATTTGCTAAAGAGCTACGACATGAACTTCAATCAAACGATCTTCATGGATATTTCTATGGAAAAATCGTCTCGGGTCAAAAGCAGGTCACTCCCTGATAAGTCTTCAATAAAAATAGTAAATCTACTACTGGCGTCTTGTATTCGCATTTACAATTTTCTAGTTCTGCAGCTTATGATACTTTGCATCTATCAAAATCAGAATTGAAGAAATAGTAGTTCGGTAAACTTCAAAGGCTGTCTGTGTCTATTAAGTGGCTATCTAGCACAATCCTTATTAGTAAAGTTGACTTATTCTAACACACAATCATCGCCCAGACCGATTAATCATTGACGATTCTGGCGGGGCTGTATAGCCAGATATAAAACGAAAAGAGACTTAATAGTTGTCCCTTAAATTGACAGGAAGTTCTGCACTACCCGCCTAGGAGGCTACGCTACACCACTGCAGATCCAATTGCAGCTGTTGCTAACGCCACTGAAGATGCTACGGTTTTTAGACTCAAACGCTGGGTAAAGTCCAGAGGTAATTCACCTAATTCTACTTTAAAAAGTTTTTTCAGTGAAAGTCCCTAGGAGCTATAAGCAGGTGAGCCGTGCCTCCGAGCCCCTCCTTAGATTGATAGGGTTTGCGATATTTTTCAATCTCCTCGTCTGTTTCCTCTTGAATCATAATTAGAAAGACGATTTTGGGCACGTGGAATGTTATTTACCTCGATGCTTCCAGCCATACCTCTGCCCAAGGAGCTGGGCAGTCTCACAAGAAACGATGACAGGGTGGATATTCTTGATGTCTATTGACGGATCAAGGGCTTCTGAAGTATGCGACATCGCAACAATGGTACTGAAAACGAGAGCAGTGAAAGAAAAGTAGTATGACCGTCTTGTGGCTACTATGAAAGGGTGAACTGAAGGAAAGTTTTACCTAAAAACATTTGTCACATGATAGTGCCATGGAATACTTATAATCGTTGAACTGTGGAAAGCTTGTAGTGCTATCCTGGTATGTTTAGCCCAATAAAACGGCTATACCAGCTGATATCCACCACTAAATTTTGTTGTAGCTAGTCGTTGTAAGTCGCTTATAATTCGAATAGATGACTATATTTGCATGGGTCGCTTCTGTATAAAGGGATCGCGGGAATTGTATATCTCTCTTAATCGTAAAAGCTCTGTGTTTATCCTCTGATTCGAGCTACCAATTTCTTCAGCTATGATATTGAGAGCATGAAGCCACTTTTTCATGACGTTTGTCGTCTTACAATACTTCATAGTAAGTTGCTCACGTTCTGCTTTTAGAATTCTCACCTCTTGTTCCAGCATATCTCTCTCGGCTCGTTCCACTACTAGACTTTATTGAACCGAAAGAAGTAGCTGGTGGGAGAATTCTGTTGACACTGCATGACTTTTGTGAGGTGGAACTTTCAGTTGACAGATTTCAAACTCAAGCAAATTTTGGGGACGTCGATTCCATGATTACCGGATTTCCCAAGCTAATATGATCTTCACCAGCTCTCGGGGCTCTAATCGCCTCAGATGTTACGCCAACTTCTGAACATAGCTTTTAATACACTTTGATCTTTTGCCTGCTAAGTCATTTAGAGAATATGTAGATGTCAATTTTAGCTGGCCAAAGCAAAATTTATGCCAAAGGAATATATTAAGCACGAGAGGGTAGTGAATATTATAACTGCACTACGTTTTGGAATCAACATTAGGATTACTTGGAAATCTTGGTTTATTTGAGGCTGAGAGCTTTGCAACACTCGTGTTATCACAGGGTGATTGTATCTTGTTAAAACCCGCCCTTTCCTTAATTATATCCAAATCGACCTGAATTCCAAGCGAATAATGAAAGTAGTGAAGTCTCTTGCGAAATATTTCAACATTTGTTTTGAGCTTCATAGTAGATAGGACTATCAGTGTTCCTTAGCTAACCAGGCTCTGGGAAATGGCATCAGCCCTTGTATTTCTTGATCATGCGTTGAGAACGAGGCGGATATAATGATGGGACTCGAAGCAATATTTTTTGACTTATGGTTTCTGTATCGCGAAAAGAAATACCAGACATAGTCCTTAATCACCAGGATGTAACAAATCTGTAACGTAAGCTTGTGTACAACTATGAAAGATGCAAACTCACCAATGTTAAAATATAAATAGGTTCAACACTGCGTTCGAAAAATAGTAGACAGATTATCACTCCAAAATTAATTCCAAAGGCCAGCACACTGAACAGGAGGTGAGAGACCGTTAACAGCTGCGTTTCCTCTCCCATTGATTGACGAAACATGCTCCACCATTCTAGAATTAGGCAGCCAAAATGAATCATCGCAGCACTCATAATGACTACATTTCTTGCAATGGTAGGGACAAAACTCATAAAAGTCCCACCGGCGAATGCTGCCACCGAGTATATGGAGCAATGGCCAAATGAATCACCCGAGTCGGGAAAGCGTTTCCCCAAGAGATATTTGAACCACAAGAACTATGATCATGATGCTATCAACAGAAAGTATTACCATAAAGCCTGGGATATACATACTTGTCTTAGAATATTTGTTGTGAAAATGAAACTTAGAGAGAGCCTAAGCCAGAGACCACCCTTCAACCAGGCCATCGCTGTAAACATAATTGTCAAGCCTGTTGCGATGGATATGAAAACATAGACAAAACCAAAGAACGAACTCTGGTGCCTCATAGCAGTGGATAATGTAGGATCATTGATATGTCCATGGCGGGAGTTTGTTTTATAAATAGAAACCTGAGCAGTAAAAGTGTAGATAAACAAATTGAACGAAGCCAAGAGCACAAGGACAGTGTGCGCCAAAAGTTGCCCAATGGCGAGTTCCATGTTTTTGGATACTCTAAAGGTGAATAATTATCGACTAAATCTTATGAACCTTTGAGGGGAGAGCTCATATATCAATCGTTCCATAGCTTACCGAGCAAATTTCAGCACATTTTCAGGGGATCTGTCTATTCTTAAAGGATTGCAGTATGACTGCTGAGCTTCTTATATATGCGGAGTCTATGCCAAGCCCCACATGAACAGCCACACCTATGCGTCGGCAGGGGACAGAAAATGAAGCCTTTCCTGAGTTTGGTATTAAAGCTAAAGCTAATTGGAAATGGCTCGTATCTCGTTATATCCACTTATAATTATAATGGTGACGAGGGGGCACCCCTGCAAAACGTTCGAGATACTCCAAGCGCAACTCTTAAATAGATAATAGCTACATATAAATTAATCTATGAGAAAGGTTCTTTACAAATCAGGATAAGAAGCTGAGGGGGCTCCAACCCCCTTTTTTATAGATTGCTACCCGGGCCGGCATTGCAATTTTGCCTATCTTCTCCCTGCCTGAATTAATATAGACCGAGTGTTACTACAATCCATTAATCTGTTTGGTGAATGGAGCGAGTATGCCGCAGCTCGTTAGAGTGACTTACCCATCGGAGCTAATGCTTTTGTACGTGGAAGTATACCGGTACTTCCTATACGCTGATGAATTACAAGACTTAGAGTTTTACTTATGCAAGTGCTCGCCAAATGGCTAGTGGAGAATAAACTTCTTTTAGCCCCTCACAATTCATCGACTGTTATCAAATTAGCTAAATAACCATATTCATAGTCGACCCCCGTAGCCTGTTTCGGATACGCTTCGATTTCGTCGTCAGGTTCGGGAGTTTCCACAGAAAACAAAAGCATAGGAGCATTTGATAAGAGGGAGAAGTATCTTTTCAATCAGGTAATATGAAAATATCCGTTATGGCGCATCCGCACCCGCTCATGACGTTCTCTTTGATCGCGAGGCCGAGCAAGAACCAATCATTTTCTAGTGATTTATATTTTGGCAAGATGTAAACCATTGATATTTTGTGATAGTTTGTAGTCACTCTGTTCGTTTCGGTACATATCGCCAAATGGTTTTCTTTTTAAGTTTATATATTAAGTCATGATGCAGCTTGCATTTCATGTAACAAACGTAAATCTCTTAAAAGTCAATGCAATAGCCCTTATTATAACAGTAATAGTGCGCAGAAGTGAGGGTCACGGTAAGTTTATGAATTCTGTCCTCTTAATGGATTCACTGATCTCTTCGCGCAAATCTCCCACGAGAGTGGCTATGGCACCAAGGTCGCGTAGACATCTACGCATAGCATTTGTTGTCTGGTTATATTTCTCGGAAAGTCGGCCATATTCTGCTTGAAGCGTACTCTGTTCAGAATCCTGTCTCTCTCTTCCCTCCCTTTCTTCCGCTAGACTCTGCTGGATGGAAAAAAGCAGCTCGTGTAACAGCTCTGTTGACATGTCATAAGCTTCATGCGTGCTGAAGCTTTCAATCTCTGGACTGCCAATTGAGAATGGTAAATGTGGTGTCGACTGTGGAGAAACTAAGTTTCTCGGGCTGCTGGTATCTTCACAAGCCCTCGGGGCTATAATTGCCTCAAAGCTTTCACCAACCTCCGAACAGATCTGTTTATACGCAGAGAGTGTCTGTCTGCTTAAACACTTAGAAAATAGGTGCGCTGCCTCAGGCTTATATAACCAGCAGTATCCATGCTTTGCTGTATTAGTTGTACGCACTTTAGACGGTTTGATGTCTAAATTAGTCTTTTTCTCTGAGCCGTTACCTAAATGTTAAAAATTACTGATATTATTTTGCTTATATTTCGGCATGTTACCTTACTTATTTCGTCGACGAGTATTTCTCGGCAGTGCATCCTTAGCCTTTGGCGATTATATGCGTATTGGAGCTTATTTTTTGGAGATTGACTTGGTATCTCCATCTTCACCAAGGGCAACATCAATCATCGTCTAATTTCTCGTTTACTAGCGATTCACCATGCATGAATTGAAAATAAATTCAACGCGCTTAAGTATGCCGTTACTGTACTGTAATATTCTCATTTGCCAGTTTTGCTTAGTAACTCGGGGTGCAAAGAACGCTGGTTCTGAACTAGCGGCTTCTGAGGTACAGTACCAATAGGTCAAAAGTTCGAAAAAGTATTGGCCACATTAAGACTCCTTACAATAATTAGATAATCATGACAGATAAACCACACACAGAAAAGACTGAAATAAGCTATAAGCACAAAAGGATATTATTAATCCTAGTAAACTCCTATTTTGGACTCCCTAAGCAAGGTTAAGATCTACATACCCTATACTAGCTAAACGTTCTAATCCTAAGCTACACTGTGAGAACTAAAGAGGCTTCGTATAAGAGAGAGACTTGCCCAGTTTAAATATGGGCTTTCTCCAAATCATATACTCGTCATGAGAAATTTTAAGAAGAAAATATCACGCCGTCTGGATATTGATGGCTTTCCATCTAGTAGCACCGTTGAGCCCAATGTAGAAGATGTAAGATCTGCGAGTACATTTCAGTTCATGGCACTACCACCCAAGGGCATTACCATTTCGCCTCAAAGGCGCATTGTCGAACTAAATGATGAAATCCGCCAATTAACTTGCGAGCTAGAATATTATAAGAATTTAACAGATGACGTGCTATTACGCATCATGCCTATTATCTTATATCATTCTAGTGGCTTGTATTCCACAGTCCAAAAGTGTCATGCTAGCATTGAGAATGCGAACAGCCAGCGAGCGCAATTTTGGAAGTAATATGCATAACAAAATCAATGTGTAATAAAGCTTATCAATTCATTTTTTATCCCTTCGACAGTATACTTGCGGTTCAATCAGAGCATAGCCCGTATATTGATATATATATATATGTAGATGTGTGCGTTTGTGTGAGATACTCATAGCTGGTGAAGTATATGAGACCCACGGCTAAAGCTTATTACATGACTTATAGTTTGATTCTATTATTTAAATAAATTATTATTATGCTTACTTATTTTTGCATCATTGATTTACACTTTTATGGGGTTACTGTTCTTCCTTACACCATAACAATGAGAAAAATGAGAATACATTAAGTAGCTCCATCCGCGTGAATTGCATAGGAAGCAAACTGAATTTAAAATTGGGCATACGTTACATATGATTAACGTCTTCTGAATTCTTCTAACTGTGCTCTTTGTTCTTTTTTTCTATATGCTGCAGCTGCAGTCTTTAGTTCATCATTAATGACAAAATCGGTTGTTGGTAAGAGAAGGATGTTATTCAAATCATCTCTTGGTAATTTCCAACAGTCTTCAGCGAGAAGCGGTGTACAGTCGAGATAATATAGACTCATCTCGTGGTCACGAAGTATTGTTGTGGCTACTTCTTTTACGTCGTCCTCTTGATCTGTATCGACTTGCAGGAATGTCTTGAATTGGCCTTCCTGATGCACAATGAATTTAAAATTCTTTTTGTCGATATGCCTTGTTGATCGGGGGTTATGTGTTTGTGACTTTGACACTGACCCCAGAGAAGATGTATGTTGATCTTTAGGAGCAGTTATATCGTTTGCGTTGTTATTATGTGAGACCTGATAATTTCCTGATTCTTTTCTACGTCTCTCTTCCTCCTGATACTTACTCGAAAATGATGTAGATCTTACTGAATATATTTGTTCCAGAATGCAAGTAGTATCGGCCTCACTAGCGTTTACATCGGCAGGCGTCTTATACGCTCCTGAGTTGTCCATTTCCTTGGAGAGGGAGAAGAAAGACAAGCATTGAGACCTTAGAATTTGAAATGAAGATATATCTTGGCTCTTCATATTTAATGCTCCGAAATTAAAGCGAACCAATTCAATCATAAGATATTTTCTATCCTCTTGATACAAATCATGTTTGGGTCGGCCACGCCGCTGACGCAGGACCCGAGCGTATGATACTGGCGATTTCGCGGCTGATCTATTGAGGGAATTTTTTACATGCCCAGTAATCAAAAAAGCTGCTAGATTTGGATTTTGTGAAACAAAATTCGTTAATTGCGGTTGGTTATTAACTTTGAGATTAGCAGGATATTCGCTATTGCCATCTATGGCCAGTTGAGACAATCGTTCAATCTCAGGTGTCTTGAACCCAAGCTTTTGAGCATATTTAGCAACTCTAGATAAGACACCGACATCCGGCTTCTTAACAAGGTATCCTGCGAGTAATCTGCCTCCAGTCCCTAGATTTGGCGGTGGCATACGTTGGAATACCCCTACAAGGTATATCCAAAGCTGTTCCATAGCTAGATCAAATGAGGGATCCAGCCCATCTGTTGGAGCTTCAATCGCCGGAGACACCGTTACTTGCGGACTATGCACTGCTATAGTTGGTGTGAAACCACGCCTTAACGTCTCCCGAATCGTCATTTTATAAAAAGGGGTGACAATGTGCCTCATGCTAGCGGCGCACATTTCAAGAAGATGTACATCTTGGAAAAATGTGCCTATTGAAGGTATAACATAGTCTATTGAAAGAATAATGTGTTTAATAGACTCGCGCTCTTCTTGGTTAAATGCCCTGAATATATGGCCATCATTAATCATCTTCAAAATATCTTCTGCATCTCGAGAACAGAGCTGTGGGCAACGGAGCTCTAAGGCTTGAACATCTTCAATGTCTATCTTGTCTAAGGCCTGTGAATTTCCTAGAGCGATCTTTAGCCATGTGTTGAATGTATGGCGGAGATATGCTGCCGCCTCCTATTCTTCCAGGTTACCTCATTGAACAGTAGTTGTGAATAACGGAGCAACCCACCTCATCAGCCTTAGCACAACATAGTTTGTGAAGAGTACTGAACCGCATGCCCTGTCTCAATCCACGAGTTTCCAACAATGGATCGAAAGCTTCTTTTAGAATTTTGTGATTCAGAAGCGCCCTAACACATCTTCGTATATGGTCTGACGAAAAGTTATCCTTGTTGGAATTGAATGCTGCGTCACCATACACCTTACCCTTTTTGTCTTCCAAGCGAATAGTGTGATAAAGAGAGAAATCTTTGCTGTCTTCCATATCAGTAGTTTAAACAAGTACACAAATACTGGACATACAGTTAGAGTGTCACAGTTACAGTACAGAGGTACATATACATACGAATATGAGTTGCTAGAGAGTTGTAGGGTTCTGTTTCAAGAGGTCGTGGACGGGCCTTGGTCCATTTTCTGCTCAATGTGGGGCATCGAAAAATCAATTTTATTTCACGTCCATTTAATCATTTATGCTTTTGCGTATTAATTGGGCAGCACTTCAAAGCGGACTACCCCCCCGGAAGGAGCGCAATTTCTTCTTCGACTATTTGTACATGGACGCTGCGATTATCTGCAGTAGTATAGTATGCGACATAAACCATATGTTCACGATGCTAGAACCGACAGACATATTCATTCTTTGCGTTTCTGGTTGTTTCCTTGCGCTATTTGTTTCTAAAAATGTACTTCCGCGTATAATTTCCATCTTAACAGTCTTTGTTCTTCTCCCAGCCAAGGCCATAGGCTACTGCTTCTTAGTGAATCGTCATCGCCTCATAGGCCCATTCACGGTAGCATCTGCATTCCTACAATTGATTTATGTTGGGAGTAACATCGTCAGCCTTGTATATGGGATTAATTCAGTGGTTGAAGCAGCTTCGCGAGCCGGTACTCTGGCTCTTATTAACCTGGCTCCGCTGTATTTTTCAACACACCTGAGCTTCCTTGCCGATATTTTTGGCGTATCTTTAGCCACATATCGGCAACTTCATCGCTCATGCGGGCTAGTAGCTGTAGCCCACGTTATATTTCATGGAGCATTTGCCTTAGCACATCGTTCCCACCTCACTAAAGAGGTGTCAAGTACTGACTGGTATTCGCTAATTGTGTGACTCTTATAAAGTCTTTGTGGCCTCTCTATGATATAGTTACAGGGTGCTGATATATGCAGGGAGCCATTGCAATGATCCTCCTCGTACTCCTTTCAATTTCCTTCTTCCGAAAGCGTTGGTACGAAATCTTCCTCCGACTCCACCAGACACTCTCCATAGCTGTAATGGTCTTCGTAATAAGACATCTCATATCAGTTCCAGATTTCCAGTGGATACCCGTATATATCTTCATTGGAATATTCTTCTCCTTAGCAGCTTTTTACATCATGATCTTGATATACCGTAATACAAAGCTGGGAAAGAATTTTGCACGTTTGCGAGCTACTGGAAAAGATGGAATAATGACCGCCATTATTGAAATGCCTCGGCCTTTGATTATCAATCCAGGTCAGTATCTCAATATATGGGTTCCTTCTCTCTCTCTCTTCTCCAGCCATCCTTTTACAGTCACATCTTGGGCGCCCTTTCCACAGGAAAAGGTTGAGCTACTCATTGAAGAACGAAGTGGTTTTACTGCAAAATTATTCCGCCATTCATGTGTAGAGGGACATTTAGGCAGTAGAGAAGCTCAGCAGAAGACCCAAAATGGATATAGAGTATTTTTCAGCGGACCTCATGGTAGCTCAATCCCTGATTGGGAATTCGATTCCGTTCTCATTTTTGCCACTGGGTTCGGAATAGCTACAATACTACCATATCTCATCAAGCTATGTCACGGTTATAAAGAGCGGAAAGGTCGAAGTAAACGAATTCACCTAGTCTGGAAAGTGTATCTTGTGGGTGAGTGACGTGTTATCACCGGTTTATTTACTTCTAAATATTACTAGAGCTCCGCGAGGCTGTCGAACATGTTATAAATCCTTTGCTTGAAGATAGTCACGAAAATTCAGATGCCGTACGTTTACGCTATCCAAGGTGATGTGCTATTTCTAATACTCAAGATAGATGCTGTATGTATCAATTTACAATGGATTAAAGATGGAAAAAGAAGGTAGTGCGAATGGCCACTATATTCTCAATCCTGGCAAGCCTAATATAGCCTCTATCATTAAATCCGAGTTCCATATCCGCTCGTCTGGCACGGCGGCCAAGGTCGGCCATCATCCATCGCGCTTTTGCTGGCTTAATAATGTAGGGTCATTCGAACATTTTAAAACAGTTGTCCTTGGTAAGCTAATTGTGGATGTAAATGATCTACCAATAAAATATGCTGAGATTATTTATATTGTAGTGTCCGCTGATGGAGATATGAGGGATAATATACGTAGGGCCATCCGAGGCTATTTGACAAAAGGTTTTGAGCTCAAGGAGTTAGATTACCAGCCTAGTTAATTAACAGCATGTGGATTCCGCAGGGATACACCTAAGCCCGGGTTATTTTAGCGATGGGCTAGGAGGATCTATGGGAAATGGAATTGTCAAGTCACCATTAGGTAGATGTAGAACTGTAATCCAATATTGATTGTGTATTAAGTAGCAACTTTGTTTCTAAAATATCTAAATAGCAGTATGTAAAAAGTGATATATATAATTTGGCCTAAGTGGCTCATTGGAATCATCTCATGAATCTTGGCGTTGCTGGATTGATGACGAGTAAATGAGCCGCTGTTGATTGGCTAACCTTTCCGTCTTTAATCCGCTTCCGCCTTTCCTGTAGGGCTGCTGGTATTGCGACCGTAAGAGTCAGGCCGTGATAGCATTTCAAGGCCATATAGTGAAATATGCATAAACTAAGATGTAATATCATTATAGCTTATCTAATACGCACAAGCTCTATCCTTAGCTCATGATTCTCTGTGAGAACTACCCGTATCAGAGACATGGTCTGATATAATTTGATAAAAAAATTTGCAAAAAAAAAAAAAATCTTTAGAAGTACATTGCGACTTTTGGCATCAGGCATGGTATATGCCTGCTGCCTTGGCATTCTTTCGAGACAATGCATCGACCTGGTGCATTTTACATTCCTCTCCAGAATTTTAGCTCGAAGTTACTTGAAAAGACACCACAGCGGACTAAATCGTCTTCCAGCTCCCACGTTGGATGATCACAACCCCTCCACTTGATTCCGAGAAATACATTTCCTGTATCATTTTGATACGAACCAATGATGGCTTCAATGTCAAATTGTAAGCTGTCGTTCATAATCCGGGGACCTTGTTGGTACATCTCCTGGCACAGCCTAAGGACATATCCGTCATCGAAAACCCACAACAAGCTCTCCCCGCCAGGAAGATCCCACAAGAGCTCATCCACATACTTAGCTCTGATACCGTGGTAAGTTTTTTGTGAGATTTTGACAGATAATAACACTTCGATTACGGTAACTGAAGGCGACCACAGAGGATCAACCTGGCGTCCTCTGTACGAGTCTACAGGCGTCACAATTTCCATATCTACAGCGGCCTATTTGTAGCATATATTTAAAGGGCGCAAGTATACATGTATCAAGGTAGAGTATTACGGAAAGTTAACTGTAAGCCGTGAATTCCGAGTAAGAAAGCCAAGGAGGGCTGGGCGACGTGGCACTGTATGATTTAAATATGAAGAGCGATAAAATGGCACCAAAATAGTCGTTATAGAAGATCTATTCAGCGCGATGTATACGATGAACTGGCATCTTTTTTCCACGTATATATGTATGTACGTCAAGTTGTTTGAAACAAGCATAGTGAGCCACTAATTACCGTAATGGTCGATACAATTGGAGCCATTTTTGGAAGCCGTCTGATGAGGTAAGAAGGCAATATGTAGACAGAGATACCTTTGCCTCAATATTGACCATTCTGATAAGCCTAGAGACATATTAGTATATATATGTACAGACAATATTATGTGAAAGCTGTTTACATGCATAGAGATAACAATTCACATATAATATTTTCAGCTAATTTATCAAACCGCAACAATCATGGATCTTTTAAACGTGGAAAATCATATCATACAGTAAGTAGGGATTAAATTCTATTGTAGGGCTTCCTTTAACTTAAATTGATAGTGTCGAGTCCTCTCCAGCACGCTGCTGTGTCTGTCAGGGGACGTCACCAAAGTCGGCACCATCAAATACCCAGAATGTGTCCAGGGCTACCGGCGCCGCTGGAAGCGGTCATGTAACAGCTCCTTTACCAACTAATCTTAACTCCAGTTCAACTATAGTATCGGTTGTACCGACAAATATCTCATCTCTTCCAAATACTGAAAGTTCGCCGGCGTCACAAATGCAACCAAGCGGGGCATTGACAATGCTGCTCTTCTTGTTGGTTATTAAGCTAATATGACTTGACTTTAACTTGTAATTAATGTTAACAGCAAGCAATTCGTTTGCACTTATTTATAAACATCGAATAGGAAAGGTAGAGCAGCGTCATTACTGCTTAGATTAACACCAAGTTGCTTATTCGTCTGAGGAAAATATATATATTCATTACTGCTGTGTTCCTGGTCTATATAGTTTGGTTTATACAGTTCCAACCCCGCCACAATCAGGAGCCGATGTGGCGATTTTTAAGAGATGCCTGCCAATTTTCGCAGAAATGCATATCGACACGCATTTACTAGTGCAGCTGGTGAACTGCCCTGTAACATAAATTGATGCTATTCTCTTTTAGTTTGGCCTCCTGCCTCATAATAATCTGAGTTACTCACGTTTTTGGCTGGCAAAGTTCCAGAACTGAGCTCAGTGATCAAGGAAATGCATCTTGCTGATGGCGTTGGGCACAATTTGAGAATAGTCTCTCCTAGATAAAGCGCGACGTATGCTAAATTGGCTGATCGAATTATGGGCCTCAGGCTTGTCTCGAAATTCCAATCCAGCACTAGTGCACAATTCAGCGAATGCTCCCACTACCCTTTTAGTGATACTTACCTATCTTGATGCGTCCTTTTACTGATACACGAATCATAGAAATGCGAAATCCTATGTGATGTTGAATGAGATATACGACTGCATCTAGTATCTAAAATTGCAATAGCTCTTTAGCAAAAACTTTTACTGTCCTTCTAAACCAAGATACATACCTGGGACGCGATACCAGCCACTTCTACCTCAGACAGGGGACGGAGATCAAAAAGGTCAAGCTCGATAAATTCATAAGCAACATACGTTTCTTTTCCCGTTGAGTAGAAAGCTATTGGCCGGGCAATGTTGAGGTGAGCAATCTGCGCAAATTTCTTAATGTCAGATATCGTGGTTTGATACACTTTCTGTATTACAACCATTTGACGATATGAAAGATGACGATGCGAGCCAATCCACGCCGTCCCTATGCTGCCCACAGATTGATAATGAAACTTGGGGTGTACGTCATAGGTCATTGGCATCGCTGCTATGGCCATCACCCCATGATCTTCTTGATCCATTTGATGCACTGGAGACCACTTTTGAGCTATATGAGCTCTCTACTAAAAAGTTTTATGCACTCCCTTGGGTCTAGAATATATAGGCATAGGTACTTATCGGTCTATAACGCTCCGCCTGGCGCTGTAAATATATACATACGGTAATTCAAGGAACCCAATTAAGCTCTCTTTGAGGCCTAGCCTTCGTGTGCTGAATTTCTATCTCGAATTCGGCGGAAGTCCAATAGTGGATGCTCACAGTATGACAGCTGAATCCTTGTGGGCCGATTTTGTAGTAGACCGGAATAGGGCCACGAGTCTATTTCTGGCCGCCTACATGGAGTCAAAAGCAACTAAATGGGCGGGGGTGTCTACTGCGCGGACGACTGAGGGGTGCCCTGAAAACTGTGCGGGCGCAAGGGGGCCATTTGCAGCTTGTTACGATCGCACCTGGTGCATAATGTAACGTTGGCTGAGTGGACCCGCGCTGCGGACATGCCAATACAGCATCCGTTGGATGCACAGAAGGGTAACAATAACAAGGCGCGTCTTGATACTGTACTCTGCTCTAGGGCCATAATCTATATGAATTTTATATCTCATTATACTACATACATATTGTCTTGCGCAGAAAGAGCTTCCTCTTTCTGTTTACTCTTTTTAAAATTTAGCGGGAAAGAGTACTTCTGAGTACTTCTTAATATTTATATACAGACCATGCAGCTAAAAATAGCTGCCTTTACCTACCGTAACTTCCCTAGAAAGCGGGGTGGGGCTTTAAAGCTTGTCTTTTAAAGTATACTCAGGTAATAGCTAGTATCTTCCTTAGGCTTAATATTGCAAATAACCCTTTAAATGCATGATTTATAAAGCTGATAAATAGTATGCTATATAGAGTTTTTATAATTGTAAATAACGATGTTGGTATACACCGAACTTTTGAAGAGTGTGAAGAAAGAGGAAGCTGTTTTTGCGTAAAACAATACAGTGACAGATTATAGACAAGAAAAGTGCTGCTATTAATACATGGCTATAAACTACTTTCGCTTTCATGGGCAAAGCTAGGAAGCACCAGTTAAAATGCCTTGAAATGTATGTACATGATACCTAAAGGAATCAAATATTCCATTATATATTTTATTATAGATTCACCATATGTTCAGTACGAGTATCACAGGTATAGGTTTAACGTCTTGCATTGTAAAAAGGGATGGCCTATCCGGTATCCATGAAGGCGTATTTGGTATTAAAAAAAATCAGGGCTTGTATAGCTGCTATAATAACGGGCTTTCCACTATAATGAGTGATGGAGTGTAACATTTTATTAATATAGGAAGGTCCTTTTATTGTATTTGTTGCAAGTTTCTGGTTCTAGCTAATCTAAACGCTGTTTCTTAAATGGACTTTCCGCTTCTGCCTCGCTCCCCCTCTTTTGTGGCTGTCGAATGACGCCGCTTGCAAAATACTGTGAGTCGAGAGAGTCGTTCAGCGTTGTCTCTGAAGATGTTTGGCTAATCACCAGTTCAGCGGGCCAGGGAGTGTGTGGTCTAGGTGGAACCGTAACCAGATCAACATCACAGCGTGCTGCTGCTGATGTATCTCTGTAAGATTTTAAGGTATGGTCAAGAGCGTCTATTACTTCTTGTTTCCCTCGAATAATTTGATCGTTCATCTTCCGATTCGCTTCGCTCTCATCCTTTTGGACTACTTTATCTTGTAACTGTTGGCGAAGTTGGTCGCATTCTGACTTCCGATCTTCCAACAATCTGCGAGACTTTTCTTCAGAGACATTGAGTTTATGGAAAAATACGAAGAGCCAGTGTATTGTCTGAGGATTTGGAGATGCCATGGTGAATTAATTCTCTGTTCTTCATTAATCCAAACGAGATCAGTTATATATGCTTGGATCTAAGTATCTCCTATGTATGTAAGCACTTCAATTACGTAAAAGAAGGGGATGTCAAATAAGACTTATGAAATACTTTTAACGTAAAGTCTACAACTGTCCCAAGGCATAAAGGCCTATCTCTTTGTAGAAACTTCTATATATATACATATATACACTAAGAGGGCAAGTTATGCGATTTAACCTGTGACCCCGAAGTCTTCAAACTGCCGTAAAGTCATTTTTATATCTTTTAATATAGCTACACGGCTAGATATTCTACCTATGGATGTGGTACAGTACTTAACAGTAGCGGTCTGCCAAACCATTTAACCAAAAGAGCAGATATACACTAGCATAACAAAACTTTAGGACGCGACTAGTTATCCATGAGGATAAATTGTGCCAGAAAATAACGTAGATCATGTACTGTACAGTAATAATATGTTGACCTTTTTTTTTTAAAAAAAAAAAAAAAGCCAATTATATTTAGCTATTATGACAGATAAAGAATGTTTGCTGATAATGCAACTATACTAGCTCTTGACTTCTAACGTCTCTCTCAAAATGTTAGTCCATAGCTATATGGAATCATTTGGAAATTGCCGATGAGCATTAGCCTGCTCGATTATCTGGTTACATTGCTGTATAGCAAAAGACAGGCCATTACAATGTGATTCAATTAATGGGAGAAGGGGCATCAATGCTTCATTCGATAGATCTTGAAAATGCTTTAGATCTGATCGAAGCTTCCCAACCTCTCGAGTAATATCAACGATATGATCCTGACTGGGAGAGGTGATTCGCTGAGTACTCTTCTGGTTGCCTCCAATAGAGAGCCCTACATGCTTTACTCTTATGTCTACTGCTTTATGCTTATCTCCTTTAAACCAACGGCTGATACGTTTCTTTAAAGACAAATTTCCCATATATGCTAGTTTTTACCTCGTCAGGTATACGATGTATTCTCACAGAGGTTATTTTGTTGGAAGAGATCAAAGTGCTGGTTACTCTCTTTACCAATTGGAATTTTATATATACATACGTAATCCTGTACATACAGCAAAGCGTACGAATAGTTATCACAGCATAACTCTCAGTCAATTTGTGGCTAAATACTCTATATAAAGCTTTCTGTGCATCTCAAGGCAAAACGAATGGTCAAAATATCGGCTAAGTAATCAATGCTTCTGTAAAATGCTCTGCATTAAAATGTTGCTCCAAAAACGTACATGCGGCCAAGCAAGTTACTGCGAAAAAAAAAATACACTTGCGTGTGCGCACACAAATCTTCGAGCTTAAAACTTTTTAATCAGTATATACCTACCTACATTATACATATTCATACAGCGCAGTAAACGCAGATTGTTCCACTATTACCCCAAGTATCTACTTTCTTAATATTTACTAGCATTTCTTGCTCTATATTAAGATTATCTTTTTCTTTCTTTACTTTTTTTTTTCTTTTTGCCTTTTTATTAACGTTTACTACTTTACATATCTGATACGTTATATTGACTGTTACTATGTCCACACCTATAACCATTGCCAACCATCACGATCCTTCTTGGGCCAATGGATTTTTTAATTGTTGTAGCCCAGGCGGGCTCTGTTTCCTCACTACTTGCTGTCCATGCATCACATATGGAAAAACTCAGCATCAGGTGAATTATGGCAGCTTAGAAGATTACTCATGCTGCAACTCCTCCGTCAGTATTTCCGTGTGCATTCTTGGAGTATATTAATTAATACACTTTCTATAGTGTATTGTCTTTGCGCTCGCCGTTCATTGCGGTCTTCAATGTATTCCTGCGATGATACAACGAAAACGTTTACGCACAAAGTACAATCTAGATGGTAGTTTTTTTGGAGATTTTTGCAGGTCTTGTTTATGCACGTGCTGCGTTTTAATGCAAAATGGGAAGGAATCGGAGCAACGTGGCTCTAAAAGAGGTGTATCTCAACCGTACCAATCTCCAACGGGGATGTCATACGCCAAGACGCATTAGTTATACAAAATGCTACTATCAAAATATCACTTTTGTTAAACATCGGTAACTCATAATGCAAAATATATCGTGGTAGCGCTGGTGTCTTGCTCTATCAGCATATATACCTTTTAAATTGAAAATAAATGAACTCTTCTTTGCATTGTTGTATGTACCTTCAGTTGGGCGCATTGATTTAGTAAACTTCAATCAAAATATGAAGCATTTTATAACAATCCGTTATATCGTTAAGCCAAATAGGGCAAAATATTTGGCCAATAACCTGTGACGAACCGTACACTAGATAGTTAGTATAGGGTGATTCCCAAAGGATAAACCTAGAATAAGTTCTTTAGGTTTATATTAGCGAATAGGTTAGGGAGATCTGTAGACAAGTAAACAGTATAAGTATCACCAGATAGTAAGAATTAAAAGTGCTTTTCAATCTTGAGTCTGTTATATTATTAATAACTAGCTATCTAAGTTATTTAAATGACCATTAGAAGTAAACTTATATCCAGTAGGTTAGGCTGGATTATTTGTAGATTCTAATGATCCGTGCTACGATCTGGTTCACCGTAACTACGAATCCCTTATAGGCAGCTGGTTCCGTTACAGTAACTGCTACAATAGTGGTTATTGGCCTAATCTTTTGCCCTGTTGGCTCAACAGAACGGATTGTTACAATCCGTCCCTGGATCATTGGATCATTGATCTAATGATCTTGCGTGTGATTGGTAGGTCGGCCCTATATTAATCCGGTTTTTCCTACCCTGTAGGGCTGGGCCATATGGGCTGGTCTCCACTACACCCCACAAGCATTTACTTTATTAGTTTGGTATAAGGCCCATATACATCTGTTTAATTGGCTGTTTTCGCAGAAGTAGAGGTATTGATTAGCACTAGGAAATAACTACTAAAGGAAAGAAGTATATTAACTATTTAAAAATCTATAGTATAACTATTACAGTTAATATACTGTTGCAGCTTTGCCGGCATGCCCAGGGCTGAGTCTACAGGCAGCAATTGCAGTATAGCTTCTTAAGCAGCCTGCACAGCAGCCTAAAGGTCAGCAAGAGAGAGGGTATCTGTATTATAATTCTAATTAATCCAGGTCTTTATCTACGACTATATGTTCTTTATTAAGTTAAGGTCCAGGCTGTTACAACCCAATACATCTGGTCGCAGCTTAAGATATATACTGCAGATTAACCACAGACCGAACGACCAATTATATATAAATTAATAATAATTTAGCGTTAACCTTTATATAAAGTTAACACAAGTCGACCGTCAACCTTAGTCGACCTTATAAATATAACTTACTATATAACTTAGATAGCCAGTTGTTAACCATATAATCAAGATTGGAATGCACTTCTAATTCTTACCTACTGGTGACTTTTATTGTAATATCTTTGCCCACAGGTCTCCTGACCCATCCGCCAATATAAACCTGAAGAACTTATTCTAGGTTTGTCCCTTGGGAATCTACCCTATATTAACTATCTAGTGTATGGTTTGTTACAACTATATTATTAAACTAAAAAAAAAACTATACTTAAATTTTATAAAATCTATAACTTTAGTAAAATAAAATTTATTACTTTATAAAAATAATTAAGAAAGTAACTAAAGCTAAAATATATTTAAATATCTTTATTATTTATAAAATATTTTACTATATTTATACTTAAGAAAAATAATAAATTATATTTAATTATAAACTACTAATAGCTTAATAAAATAATAAAAAAAAGCTATATATTACTATCTTTAATTTTAAAAATTAAAAACAAGCTTATTAAAGTATATTAATTTATAGCTCTTAATATTAAAAAAGCCTATAACCTAATATAAATTAAAAAAAGTAATAAATAAAAAATAGTATTTTAAATATAATATAAGTTATTTAAATACTTTATTTTATTTTTTAAACTTACTAATATATTTACTATATTTTAATAAATAATTAACTTTATACTTAAAGAATATATTAAGTAATAAATTAAACTATAAAGAAGTAGGCTTATATAAAATTATAAAGAAAATTAAAAGAGATAATTATAAATTTAATATTTTTAATATTTAAAAAAAGTAAAAGATAAAATTATATTTAAAAAAAAATATAAAGTCAAAAAAAATCCTTAAATTTAAATTTAATAAAAATAAACTATATAAATATTTAATAAAATAAAAAAACTATAATAAAAGTGTTACGACCCAACTCTTATGGTCGCAACCATAGGCCTACCGGGTAGGCATCGCCGGATTAACTTAGGACCGGCGCACCAATCAGCGATGGGTCGACACGAATCATGATCGATCCATCTCGACGCACACTTGGGATCGATGGGAATCAACATCGATCCATTACGATCCAGAAACACCAACTGGATATATAAGTTCACTTCTTACATTTACTTAGATAACTTAAATAGCCAGTTGTTAATATAGTTTTACATCTATAGATTGGAAAGCTCTTTTAATCTCTACTGGTGACTATTATTGTAATACTATTGCCCATAGGTTTTCTAACCTATCTGCCAACATAAACCCGAAGAACTTATTCTAGGTTTATCCCTTAGGAATCTACCCTATACTAACCATCTAGTGTACGTGTGACGAACTGTACACTAGATAGTTAGTATAGGGTAGATTCCCAAGGGATAAACCTAGAATAAGTTCTTCGGGTTTATGTTGGCGGATAGGTTAGGAAATCTGTGGGCAATGGTATTACAATAATAGTCACCAGTAGGGATTAGAAGTGCTTTTCAATCTGTAGATGTAAAACTGTGTTAACAACTGGCTATTTAAGTTATTTAAATGAGTGTGAGAAGTGAACTTATATATCCAGTTGACTGGATGTCCTCGATGTACTCGATGGTCGAGTTCGTCGAGTTGCACTCGGTGTAGTCGATGATAGATCCCATCGAGTGGTATGTGATTGGTTACTGGATTATGGTTAATCCGTTCATGCCTACCCGGTAGGCCCATTGTCGCGACCTTAAGTGTTGGGTCGTGACAGTACGGTTCGTCACAAAAAGTATAAATAATTAAAAAATTATTAAATATTTAAAAAATATATAAATATTAATAAAAAATTTTTATTAAAAGTTTAATATTATTAAATTATTTAAATTAATTACTTTAAAATTAATTAATTTAAAAGTAAAAAAGCTGTTTAAAAAAGCAGCTACTATGCTTTATTTATTAATTTAATTATAGCTTAAGATATATACTATAGATTAACTATAGATTAAATAACTAATTATATATAAATTAATAATAATTTAATATTAACTTTTATATAAAGTTAATATAAGTTAATTATTAATCTTAGTTAATTTTATAAATATAACTTATTATATAAAAATATATATATACTTATCAAACAGCTTAAATAATTAATTATTAATAATATATTAATACTAAATATAAATAATATTTTATCTACTAATTATATAATTATATAAATATACTTAATAAAAATATTTTATTCTATTTGCTAATATAAATATATATATCTATTCCTTGGGAATTTCCTTACCCTATAACAATAACCTAGGTTCAAGGGAACAGATTGTCACACATGCTATAAAAAGCCTATTAGATTAGTATAATTTTATAGGCCTAAAGCTATTTTTAGGGTAAGGCAGTGCAATAAGCTAGAGCATTATTATATATAAAGATAGTCCTAAAAGGTATTTTAAAAAAGAAACTCTTAATAAAGAGCAAGATTTATTTTTAATACTATTTAATAAATATTCCTTGGCCCTTCTCCTAAAAGTAAAACAATCCTTTATATAGGCTATAGATTATGCCCTAGAATATCTACCCATTGCTTTAATAACAGAGGAGGTTAAAGGTATTTTTATCTTTAGTCTTATAAAGCATTATTTATTTATATTTAGTAAAGCTATTTATAGCCTAAGTTTTATTAAAAAAGCTAATTAAAACTATAAGCTAGTTTTATAAATTAGGCCATTTTTTTAAAAGCCTCTGGCATATTATAACACAGGCAGCTCTTATGGCTGGGTTTAATAATGGCTTTTTCTTTTTCTTTTTCCTTACCTAGCCTAGGTTGTGGAAAGCCTGTAAGATAGCTTGCAGGCTAATAAGCTTAAAGCCAGGGATAAAAAAAACAAAGGTCTTGCTATGCAATTATGCAGTATATAGGGTCTTCTTTTATTCAGTTATCTAGCTGCTGCGTTTGCTTATTAAAAAGCTTGCCTTGCTTAAGCGGCCGCTTCTGCAGTGTTAGGGGGCCCTGGAGGGTATACTGGACTTGTCGTGCTGTTATATCTAGCAGCCGAGCGATATTTAGTATTATATATAAGGTGTAGTCTTGCAACGTTCGTATAGCTATCTTGTTATTGCAGGTAACGCCTGGGGCCCGGGCCTGGGCTAGGTTTCCTAACGTTGGCTGCAGAGGTTGCCTTGGGCTTCGACTGCGATAGCGGCTGCGGCCGCGGCTGCGAGTCTTACAGGGACTCTGACTTCGGCCTCGATCGCGGCCGTGATGAGGGCTTGAGACTAGGATATGGCTGCGAGGGCTTGGCCTAAAGACGCTTGGCGTAACGGGGCTTGGAGAGGTATAATGAACGAAAACGGGACTGGAAGCCCGCTGCGGCGTGCTTGGAAGAGGCCTACGGCCTCGAGGCTGTTGCCGGCAGTCAGCATCTTTATAGATAGAAGCCATCGCGATCAGGGCTCTCAAACGGTTTGCAATAACCTCAACTTACCTAGATCATTTAACCTATTTTTTATAGACGAGAAGAACGATGACGTTTTTGTTGTTGTGGTAAATTATGATGAAATTATGTTCCTTCCTATAGAAAAATATATGCAGAGGTACAAGCGCTCGCAGCCTATTAAAAATTGGGTCAGTAGTGCTCGAACCAAACTAATAAAGTAGATGCTTGTGGGGTGTACTTTCTGAAAGTCTTGCAGCCGTTAGGGCCTAGTAGGTAGGTGAGGGGGGTGTAGCCTGCCAGTTCGTCTTTTTCAGGGAATCCTGGGATGGCGAAGGGGAAACTTATAGGTGATCTCTTGACATTGCCCGTTGAACTTACTTTCAGTTGTCACTTTTGAGGCTTCGCCTTGAAGTTACACCCAGAATCCCTGAAAATATTTGAAGAAGGAAACTAAAGAAGAAGTAGCTACTTTTCTTAGCCATTGCCTCTGGACGAAGGATAATTCTCCTTTCTCGTTATTGGCCTCGTCACTTGTTTATAGGGCTGGCAGTTGCAAAAGGAAGAGAGAAGGAAAGGGGGAGAAGAAAAGGAGAGAAAGTGAGGTTCTACCAAGCAGCTGCCTCACCATCACTATGGCCCCCTATCATTACCTGGAATAACTTTCATTCCTCTCTTGAGCTTTAAAATAAAGATCAGCATAGCTACGATTATCGAGGATACAACTTGCCTCAATGGTGGACTGTTTAAGCCTAATCTTTAACCTGATAACCAGATTAATACTCTTTTCATTCAGCCTGATGTTTCGCAAGCCCTGCAAGTGACTAAAATTCACTCACCCTATTTCATCACGTCCATCAATGACTCTGTAATAGTAGTATTTGATACCGATATCGTTCTTACCTAACATGCCCCCCAAAACAATGTTTAAGAAAATTGGTCACCTCGATTCGAGATGCACGAACCCTAGTTATGTTGTTAGCGGCTTCTCCCATCAGGAGGGCGGTGTAAATGGTAGAGCAAATCGAAAGGTCGCTTACGGATGATTCCACGTCCAACCGTCATGAAGACCTAGTCTAGCGGGTACAGTAAATAAATCCCTAGGTTATTTTAAGGCAATAAGACATATTGGGGTGGAGCGAAAGCAGAAACAAACACACTGCGCTGTATTTTCATAAGCAATACTACTAGAGAGAGAAATAGTTTGTGTCAAGTACATATGTATCTGCACACTTAGGTACTGTAAATACTCAATATTATTTTACTGAGAGGCGGCATTCTGCCCAACTGTCCAGAACCAGCCCCTAGTTCTTGCAGCCCTTCCACCTGCAACGCCATATAAATCAATGCCACCAATTTATTGTCTTGGAAAGGTCTGATTATGTTTATGTACATCTTTACAGCAATAGGCAGCAATTCATAAGCAAGTCAAATATGAATTCAGCAACTGCGCAAGAAAAAATATCAACTTATTCACGTTATGCACGGGAGCGTAAGATCGATGAACAATACAAAATCCTGTTAGACGAGTATTTTACTGGCTCGATTGAAGAAAATCAAGCAGGCAAATGGTCCTTTTCCATAAAAGTATTTTGGCCTATCATAGCTCAGTACTTTTCAATCTCTGGGAGATACGCATTTCTATGCCAGGGATACATTTTCAGCGTAGCTGGAAAAGTCATAAAGCCGACTATAATGATTACTCAAAGAGCAGTGGCATTTCTGATCGTCATTTTATTAGGCCTTTTTTTAACGAAGGGGGCCAATTGGTTTTGGTTGTACACATGGCGCGGCTGCATCTGGCTGGTATATCGTATAGGCCTTTTGTAGGTAACATATTCTCTCCGATCTAGAGTAAGATATTGATAATAGCAACAGTCCTTTCCTGTTGAACTCAGCTATTACATGGATCTCCACGCAAATTGTCGATAGTACTCGATGGAGCCTCATCAGCAGTTTCATAATTCTTGGATCCTTGCTAATTACATGTTACGTTTGCAAATCCTTATTTGTGCGCATGCTCTACGATTCGGCGCAGTATCGGCCTGTTCGTATTAAAGCTTCGCCCAAGCTGCTATAGAGGAGATTCTACAGTCAATTGCTACCCTATATGATCATAATACAAGGCAGAAAAAAAATCTATCATTCATAATAGATTGGCTTATTATTGCTGAATATACTACTGTAGTTCTGCTTCACACTACTCAGCTGATTTATAGTAGAATATAAATTCAACTTCGGCTTCTTGTGACCTAGTACCCTTTAATTACCCTATATTAATTGAAGGGCTTAAAGACAGCTTCATTTTCCTTCCTCTTCTAATCAGATACAGCAATAGCTCCAACCATCTTCCTTTTATAGCACGCTTTAGCCGCAATCTGCCCTAACGTCAGTAGATGACCACTGGTTAGATCTACAACCGATCATCGAGGAGAGCATAGTATGAATATCTTGGTAGAGTTATTTAAGTATATTACAAGCGTTCATAGATAATTGTTATGACCTGGTTCACCGTAACTACGAATCCCTTATAGGCAGCTGGTTCCGTTACAGTAACTGCTACAATAGTGGTTATTGGCCTAATCTTTTGCCCTGTTTGGCTTAACGGTATAACGGATCATTACAATAATTTTCTATCTAGTTATTATTCGCGAACTAATACGCTAGCATATCGCCCTTTAGCCTTAAAGTGCCACTTTTAGTAGGTGTGAGGTCATTCTGATACTGCTTAAATGATAATAAATTAACGGTCTAGACTTTCTGTAGCATGATCTAACGCCGAGAACCGTTGTAATAGTTGTAGCAGATTCAAGCCTCCCGAACGCACCGTTAAATATACACGTCGTGTAATTCAGTAGTAGATATCTCATGTCCAGCCAATCTTCGACACAGTTGGTTGTGGTGGTCCATATAACCCAGTGTCGGCCATCCGACTTAACTGCACGTTGAATTCTGATGGATCCCTTCTCTGTGCAGTATCTGATGGTATATTACACAAATTTTGTCCGGGCCACCTAGTATGATATATTGGTTCTTGCCAAAACCGGAGGCGATATAGCTCTTGTTGATAAAAACTTGTCTCTTGTTTAGCAACTTCGAGTTCTTTCAGCGTCTTTGCAAGCTCGTCTCGTAATTTTTTTTTACTGTCGCGGTAGCTTATTCTCGACTTCATTTGGCTCTGACGTTTGTCTATCGGCCGCCCCGTTAGCTGGCAACTGGTTCTCGTTACTGGATTTGGCGTTTGGCGCTGAAGTAAATGTACGAGATGAGTCGCTTGCGGTTTTCCTCTTTTTTTGGGTCCGTGCTGTGATTGCGATGGAGTCTCTGAGGATGCCGCATCGTCAACCTCATTAAGCAAGTCCACAACTTCCATACCGGTGATTCCGAAACAGAGCAAGCAATCGTGTTACAGGAGAAAATGGTATAGGAGCAAGTAGAAGAAAAAATTCAGAATTATGTCGGTTTAGCTAGGTATGTATGTGCATATCATGTCTTTGATGTTTAAGTCAAAGGAGGACAAGACTGTCTTAAACGGCATATGCGATACACATATCCCATAACCAAGGCCGAAGACACTTGTAACTGCTAATTACGCGGGTCTGATACATTTGCATATCCAATAACGGCCTCCCAGAAAGTCATTGAAGAGTTTTAGTCTTACTAGCACTAGCACGGCCCTTTGTCAAAAACTGGCTCCATCCGCAAGTCCCAAGTTCAGCGTGAGGGTATCTAAATTAGGCAGGTGGGGTATAATGGCTAATAGTGCCTTCCGTAACAGCCAGAATTGGCTGACCTAAACTTGGGGCCAGGGTAGAACCGTAAAACTGTCCAAAAGTGGCTCTTGAAAACTAAGTCTACTCTGAATGCGCCGTATAAATAGGAGTACACACCTTAAGGAACAGCCACACTGTGGAAATTTACCGTTCTCGGCTAATGGGGTTTTATCATTGCAATGGAAAGCTACAATGTTGATACGCCAAAGGAGGTCTGGAGACATTCAATTGGCAGACGCTCTGTGTTCGTTACAAAAGAGACAGAAATGGCGATACGGAATTTCAAAAAATACGGCAAAGATATGTCTGAAGCTCGAGCAGCTAGAGAGAACGAACAGGAGGGTGGAATTCCCGATGCTGAAAATATAGGCACATTATGGATAGCGCTGGAATTTATGTCCCGTCTAGCTGTGAAGGAAAATTCATTTTTAAACGGTAACGTTGGAGAGACTGAAGAAACTTTGCAAAAGTGCAGAAGAGACACTGTTGTTGCGCTGGCATTTTTATATCGTGAAACGAGTGAAAGTAAGGTTATTTTACAAGACGTTACAATAACACCAAATGCAATATTTGCAAATGGCCTACGAAGTACAACCTGAATTGCCGGTGCGAAATGTAACGCGGAATATATGATGAAATACGGCAGAGCTTAGTGTTGCAGGTTTTATAAGTCACTGTTATATATCGAATCACTAGATAGCAGCTCTTTTACCTTAAATTTACACCGTGGAGTAAGTTGTATGCTTATCATGGGAAATCACCAATAAGACAGCAGAGAACTAGAGCGGTACATTGCTTACTCCAAGAGGTACAGATTGCTTATCAACAAGCGTCTTATCTCCTACAGCGCCAATCAGATATAATCCAGGTTAGCGTAAGTCTCACATTTTGCTGACAGAGCAGGTACAATAAAGCTGCCTTGACCCTACTAAAGAGATAGGCTAGACCAGAGCATTTCGCTAGTTTTTATTGACAGATGAGTCAGGTTGGGTTTCCGGCTGTGTAGCAAGGACAGGCAGTATCTACGGATTCTTTGTTTGGCGACTTGATCAGTATACATAAATCACAACCAAGAATTAAATTACTAGGAATAACTAAATTAATCTTTTTCTCTGAGGCTAGTTTAAAGAGTCTTGCTTAGCTTCTTCCATGCATAGGTAACAGCTATCGCAATCATGACCATCCTTCTGTTCGCCATCCAACTGGTTTGTGTCTATAAACCTTTGAGACGACCCATTTTCCACTCCCGATGAGATATTCTGGAGGTATGCGTTTGGCAAAGGCAATAATGATGGAGACACAACATCAGTGGTACCTATATTGCCGACACGGTTTGATCGTAGTTGGAACGCTTGGTTGGCTCGGATGGTTCGCTTAGCCTCATTAATCCAATCTTCCATTGTCTTTATTGTCTCCACTTGTGCCTGGGTAATAGGAATATTGCCTTCAATTTGACCCTCAATTTCAAACATCTGCCCTCTTAGAAGGGCGATTTCCCCATTGGCGATGTCTATCTGACACTCTATATCACGTAGCGAAGTATAGTAATGTTTGACAACGGCTACAATCCATTGAATTGTTGGGGGATCAAGGTAGGTCATTCTTAGCTGATTGTATTGTGGAATAACGGGGAATGGTGGAATGCTGTTTCATTCGATACTAGTGAAAGATAAATGCGTGGCTGTATATGTACATATACGTAGCTACCTACATTTTTATCTGTTCCAGTATGCAATATATGGCCAAAAATCTCTTTGTTCACTTTAAAATCTGCTTTAAGAAAGAAAATACCTGCCATATTGCAGGAAATGGAGCATGCCCACCACATGTACCAGCTTGAGTGTTATTACTTATGTATAAGTTCAGCTTTGAGCCAAAAGAGGAAAAAGCCATGTTATGAAATTTAAGTTTGGGGTTACTTTTACATAAGTACTATTGTCTTGCGCAGAAAGAGCTTCCTCTTTTAATTTCTTTACACTCTTTTTAAAATTTAGCGGGAAAGAGTACTTCTAAGTACTTCTTAATACTTATATATAAACCATGCAGCTAAAAATAGCTGCCTTTACCTACTGTAACTTCCCTAGAAAGCGGGGTGGGGCTTTAAAGCTTGTCTTTTAAAGTAAACTTAAGTAATAGCTGGTATCTTCCTTGGGCTTAATATTATAAATAACCCTTTAAATATACGATTTATAAAGCTAAAGAGTAGTATATAGATATTTCTAATAAATAATATTGTTCTGTGCAAATGTTGCTTCCGGTGCGCTACTCTCTTTAAAAAATATAGTTTGCGGAGATACTTCAGATTACCTAAAAGCACTACGAACTTTGTTAACGTCCAAAATAGGACTAAATTTATATGATGTTATAAGGGATCACTAGTGAACACCGTTACGTTCAAGGTACATTCAAGTATCCAGAGGTAGATAGAAAGCACGCTAGACCTACGGCCCCACCACGACAGTGCGACCTTCTGCCTTCAGTACTTTCCTTTGTCAGCAGGCTACAGTAGCAACCGAAATGAGGGTCCGCTTTGCCAATGTAAGGTTTCTTTCCCTTCCGAACCTCCATAACAGGCTCTTTTTATCACCGACAGATACTGACTCTGTTACCTGCCTCGTTGGAGCATAACCTAATTAATGGTATGATTCGACGAAACTTGCCCGCTGATAATAGTTCAAGCAGGCATCTAGCTGCATTGACCGCACGATTTTCGGAATAATATAGAAAAATCGAGCAAATAGCGCTGCCCCGCATCAGAATTCAATTATCCCTTCATAAAGACAATTTGGTGGTATTAATATATCAAGGCGGTCAATTGGTCAATATCTAAGGTGAGGGGTTAAGCAGGCTGCCAACGGCATATATTTCTCAAGTCTCCACTCAACGCCCCATTTCCCATAAAACACTTAATATGATAACTTTCGGAGTCTTGCAACCATAATGAATCCAAGAACGTCACATTACCGCGATATCACGAAAAATACTTTTGGTAATAATACTAGGATCCATCAAGGAGATATCCACAACCACGACAGCCACGCCCGTGGTCAGGCAGATCCTTGCCTAACAGATTTAAGAATCACCGATCCCCGCGATGACAAAACGCGCATTGAGGAAACCAAAGGCAACCTGCTTAGGGATTCGTACTGCTGGATCCTCGACCATGCCGACTTCCAGATGTGGCGAAACGATCCACAGTGTCGGCTACTCTGGATTAAAGGGGACCCTGGTAAGGGAAAGACCATGCTGCTCTGCGGTATTATCAATGAACTAGAGAAGCTTGCAGCATATCGCCTATCATACTTCTTTTGCCAGGCGACTGAGGCAAGACTAAGAAGTGCACCGGCCGTACTGCGGGGGCTAATCTATAGCCTTATTGTTCAACAGCCATCGCTTATTTCTTATGTGCGAGAGAAGTACGATCACGCAGGCAAACAGCTATTTGAAGATATAAACGCCTGGACAGCTCTGTCTAAGATATTAATGGCGATACTTAATGATCCCTGTCTTAAAGATGTGGTCTTGATCATTGACGCTCTCGATGAGTGCATAGAAGAACTTCCACGCCTTCTTAACCTTATTAAACAGATTTGCTCGGCCTCCTCTTCGTCCTCTCATGTCAAGTGGATTGTGTCAAGTCGTAACTGGCCTGGCATTGAGAATAGGCTCAAAAATGCTGAGCAGAAGATCAGTCTATGTCTCGAGCTGAATGAGGATTCCATCTCGGCCGCTGTTCAAACTTATATCCATTATAAGGTGAATCTTTTAGCGGAAGAGAACAGCTATAGCAATAAAATACAAGAAGAGACTCAACGCTACTTAGTTTCGAACGCCAATAATACCTTTCTTTGGGTGGCCTTAGTGTGTCAGAATCTTAACAATGTCAGAAGCTGGAAGGTACTGAAGAAGCTAAAAACTTACCCGCCTGGTCTTAATTCTCTTTATGAAAGGATGCTAGACCAGATACTCAAATTAGACGATAATGATGATGTGTCTCTCTGCAAGCACGTCCTCACTATATTATCGACAGTCTACCGGCCAGTTACCTTACATGAACTTCATTCTCTTATTGGAAGTCCTGAGGAGTTTTTAGAAGACATCTCGTTATTTGCAGAGATAATATGTCTCTGCGGCTCTTTTCTTACCATTCGTGGTGATACAATTTACTTTATCCATCAATCAGCAAAAGATTACTTAACTACAGATGAAGCCTGGTCTACTCTCTCTCGTTCTAGCGCAAACGATATTCATTATACTATCTTTTCTCAATCGCTTCAATCTATAAATGCCACGTTACGACGTGATATTTACTGCTTAAGAGATCCCGGATATCTTATCAGCCAACTCCAACAACCTAATCCAGATCCCCTAATCGCTGTATGGTACTCATGCGTCTACTGGATTAATCATCTTTGCGATTATAATATTGGCGATAATACGAAGGTTAATTTCCAAGAGGGAGGCTTACTTGATACATTCCTGCGCCGTCACTTTCTTCACTGGCTAGAGGCGTTAAGTCTTCTGCAAGAGACATCAGAAGGCATCCTTGCATTAGCAAGGCTTATGGATCTGCTTTCGGTTAGCTTCCGATTAGTTAGATTCAGTTTATACAAACTAACTGGAACAGGAACAAACATCCCAGAGCCAAATGTTAATCTTGGTACAAGATGCCAGACGATTTACTCTTCGACATAGATGGGTGATTGAATATACGCCGCTCCAAGTATATGTCTCTGCACTTATATTTAGCCCCCTGCAGAGTCAAATGCGGATGATATACAAGGATGAAGAGCCATCATGGATGCCATTAAAGCCAGCTGTAGAAGCAGACTGGGATGCCTGTCTGCCGACTCTAGAGGGCCATAGCGGCTGGGTGACGTCGGTGGTCTTCTCACCCAATGGCCAGCGGCTTGCCTCAGGCTCAGACGATAACATAGTTACACGAGGTACGGCCCATTATGGCTATGGCATAAACTCTGATAAAACATGGATCACAAAAGATGATATGCCTTTGGTTTGGCTGCCTTTAGAGTATCGACCAACTGCATCAGCTATATTTGGAGCTACAGTTATTATTGGATGTGCATCTGGTCGGGTATTAGTAATGCGGTTTTCTATAAACCAGGCTAATTAACAATGAAATGGGTTCTATTTCTATTATCGCGACCCAACACATAGCCATTGAGGAAGACCGCATATGACAAGAGCTTATAAAATGAAATAGTCAAAACGAAGTCGGTTCTACTAGGCTCGATCGGTCGACGAGGGACAAAGCCTTAAGGGGTGCGTAAGATAACATACTCTATATTTTAATAACTTTGTATTGGACGGTTGAAGGGGCGTTTTGTAATATATAGTATCTGACGTTAAGAGGTAAATTAAGTATCTAGAGGTAGATAGAAACATGCTGGACCCACAGCCCCATCACGACAGTGCGACCTTCTGCCCTCAGTACTTTTCTTTGTCAGCAGGCTACCATCAAGGGGCTAGTATCACATGATCCAGGCCACATCTAACGTGTTCCTCCATTCCAATCAGGCTGAACTAAAGTTAGATTGGGGTCCGCCCACTAGATAAGATCTGGAATGCCCCGCTGCTTCCTGCAATTTATTTTTGTGCTTCAACTTTGCGAATAGTTTCGTGTAGGAAAAATTGATATCAACATTCGGTGGGCAAGCCGCTACACTCATGGTGCCGACTCACGTGACCGCCTGGAATAGCAGGGTATGGATGCGGGAGGGGTCGACGTTGTGCAGTGCCTTTGTCGCTGTTCGAGAAAAGCGTCACAAGCAACGGAGAGAGTGCTTTGTAAAGCATCAACAACCATGAGTCAGAGTTATAACTGGCCTAATGACGATGAGACCGACTCTCAGAGCCCTTATAGTCCGAGTTCCCATAGCAAGGAGTCTCAGTCTGCGACCCCGGCGGTAAGGAGCCGTCTGAGACCTGCAGGGAAACACCCTGCGTCTCTGCCATCTGCCGACCGAGTTTCAGACACATCGGACGAAGAGGACCGAACGATATCATAAAATATCCAGTGGAAACTCTCTATTAATCATAGAAAGCGGGGAGGCTGCTCCGAGTTAGGTGTAGTAACACCGATACGGATCTTTTGGCGGGATGTCTTAGAAGCAAAGTTAGACAAAGCCGTGAAGAAGCTGAAGAAGTCTTGCGAGGCAAGCAACACAGAAATTGTGCTGTCCACTACTCATCATGGAACCCATCCCATCACGTTAAGTTTTGACGAGCTAGATTCGAAGACCTCAAGATCCGTATTACCTTCATACACTTGGGAATAGATAACCCCATCTATAGTATAGCAGGGAGGAAGGACACCCTCTTTCCTCGATGAAATGGCTTCACTTGAACTAGAGTCACGCCTTTTGGGGCGTATCCCTTCTTCGGTATTGCCAGCTCACGGTCATCACCAGCTTCATCGACAAAAACCATTTGGCTAGGCTTAAAAAAGGATCGTCTATGTATATAATCATCTCGTAGATCTCGGTTACGTTCTTTGGCAATAGTAATCATCATCTTCTTTGTCCATTTTACGCCTCGACTGATCGTGGACCTTGATACTCGAATGCCATATAGTTTGTAGAGAAAGTCTGCTTGGGCTTGTTAACTTAAACTGGGACGTCGTCGTAACTCATGCCAAATAGCCATCCACATGTTCTCCGTCCGCTGATCGCATGATGTTTGAGCGGGCGTTGCGAACAGTTCTTGTCGTGCAGCGAGGGAAAATTCTAGCTATCTCCTCATCCGTAATTTTTCGGTTGCCCTTGAACTTACTAATAATGGTAATTTCGAGCTCCTTTCGCTCGATCCTTGACAGCTTAGGCGCCATTTGTGGAGGATGGCAAGGCTAATGATGCCAACGGTGCATCTCCACGTCATACGCCATCTTTGGCGCACGGCAAAACTTAACTCCGGGAGTCCTGTTCCAGACATTGGAAGTATACGGTGCGTATTTGCTTCAATATTAACACAGTGTGGGTCTTGGAAATTACCTTAAAAGAGTGTAAACAAGAGGAAGCAATATTTGCACAGAACAATATGCTATATAGAGTTTTTTTATTATAATTGTAAATAATGATATTAGTATGCACTGAACTTTTGAAGAGTGTGAAGAAAGAGGAAGCTGTTTTTGCGCAAAACAATATGTACAGTATGTGTGTATTTAATATTCTGTTCTATGGAAGTATGTAAGTTTATCTGCATACCTCGCATGCCTTTTTAGAGGTCGCATGGAATGCTCTTTCATGGGAGGAAACACTCGAGCATAGGGGGGTTATTCCACTCTTGCGAGAGAATATATTCCTTAAAGAAAGTACAATCCTCTGAGTCCCCAAATAGGCTATCAGGTGCGTCCTGGGCGTTCCAGGGATCCGCTATACCTCCGTGATTGAGATTGTCTTTTTGCTCGTCGTAGCTTTTATCAGCTAGCCAAGATTCCACTTGTACCTGCATAAGCTCCTTAAACGTGGCTCCACCTGAGCATACCCTCTGCCTGGCTGGGACTTGTGGGGGGTCCCAATAAGATGTTAAGCGACGATATTCAGAACTCGGAAGAAGTGGCGATATCCCAGACCCTTTTTGGATGTTGAACCTAGTACCAAAAAAAATCATAAGTCGTTTAACAATGGGACAAATATCTTGTATAAGCCGCTGTGTCTTCAAATCGCTCCCTTCCAATGTCCCTTCTCCGAAAATCTCTAGTGTCAGACGATCTACTTTTTTGAAACGAAAGAGATTTTCCAATTCAGTAACCAAATTCTTCCCGTTTTTTTCGTGATCACTTATATTGCATCGTACAGTGACATTGCGCACGATGTCGTCCACCTCTCCTCCGCCTGTGGTGGCACCGTTAAAGAAATGTTGTATCCCATACAACCACACGAGAAAATGGTTCTCTCCATAAAACTTCTCCTTAGCTTGACGCATGAGATCAAGCTTACCCTTGCCTTCATAGGCAGCAATTCGTTTTAATAGTGCTATTCCGGGTACAATATACCCGTTGAGATCCGATGGCTCGCGACTGGGATGCAGTATAACCGGATACCACCATTGAACAAGCCATTGTTGCAGCATGACAGCTCGATCTTCATTCGTCAGACTTGAAAGGTAACGGATTTCGTTATCATTCATAGGCACTTTGCCTTCAGAAGCCATGATTTCCTCACGGTATGGCCGGTAGACACCTTACGCTTGCCGATTCTTATGCGGAAGGAAAATGGAAAGTCTGTATAAAACACTAACAACAGTGATATATTGTGAATGCTGAAATATATGGCGACCCTTTCCAGAAGATTAGGATGCAATTGAGATCGCCACAGGGCCAGATAATATATCGCCATTCATGCTTACTCATTTGGGCTATGATTTCAATCATATCGATTTCTTCTAAGATCGCGCTGTGAGCTCAATTCTCAATCGCGCTGACGCCTCTGGGATAAAAGTTCGGCAAGTTTTGAGCAACTATGGCGATCGGAACAATTGTCCGCTTTGAATTTTATTAAATTTACGTCAAAGCATAGATCACTTTATGACTTGTACCCCTCCATACTACTACCCCTCCATACTACTACCCCTCCATACTACTACCCCTCCATACTACTACCCCNTACCCCTCCATACTACTACCCCTCCATACTACTACCCCTCCATACTACTACCCCTCCATACTACTACCCCCACCGTGCAACAGCCGTTTCTTGATGTTTCAAACCTAACGAAGGGTTATTGTCAAGAATTACACAGATTCTGACCTATCAGCTACTTTTACAACTAAAATGTGAAACCAACTTCCTCTCTGTTGTTAACTCTCGTATTTCGAGCACAAACGCTGTAGGTCCATTAAGTACAAAATATAACCCAGAACTACATAGACTTCAGTAGGGCTTAAAATTGCTGTAAATATAGTAGTAGGCCACAGAGATAAAAGAAGAAGTATGGTTTCTTATTGTAGTTAGTCTAGGTCAGCTACTAATACAGTCAAAGGCGAAATGGGTGTCGCAAATTAACTAGATAAAGATTATAAAAAGGGTCCATTTTAATTAGATTGTAGCTTAATACCCCTGTCGTTTTTGTACTTTATAAGTACTAGTACAATCCGCAAAATGATAACTAGTGGAAAAAAAATCACTTTTTGGACTTTCATTAATAGATACGTTTCTGTTTAGCTCTGTTGATTAATGTTCTAGGTACTTCTAGTACTTTGGCAATACAATGCCCGGGCGCTCCCTAGCGCTGTACTAAACCAGCCACAGTTGCATTGAATGCTGGCTTATTATAATTAAGTATAGATTTGCGACACACATTTCGCCTTTTACTGTAGCAGCGAGCGTATTATTTGCTAAATCAGCGCAAGCAAACTGAATATGTAACCGTACGTACCTAGGTATAAGCCGTAAGTGGAAGCTTAATATTATATGCCAAACCTTTTTTATAATACTTCTACAACACGAATCTGGCCCCTGGCTACTGACTACTAACTACTAACTACTAATGCTATCTCTTTGAAGGTGCGAAGGCAGTTTGTTTTTCTATGCAAGCGTCGGACCAATTAAAGAGAGAAATTCCATGGTACATCGTGCATGTGCTAAAACACATACAAATATAAGTCTCTCAGATCCTTGCATATACTTATAGGTACTTTCTTTCTAGCAGTATCCCGTGGGTGTAAGAACTAAATCTGTTGCAACTTAAGTTGAAAAAAGTACTGTCTTGCTGACAAAGAAAGGATAAAAATCTACCTTCGCACCTTTAAAGAGATAAAAACAGTTTTCTGAGGCTGTACATATGGAGTGCTGTACTGTATAATCTCAAACCAATCATTATATCGTCGTCTGAATTCTACAAGTGGATAAGTAGACTACCTATCGGATAAATCGGCATAAGTGCATGCTTCTAAAAACACACCCTTGTTTATAGCTATCCAGAACTGGAGCAGCAAAAAAACCTCGTGCTTTTATGCTAGCTATATAAGGAAGGTAGTTGGATAAATCGGCATGAGTGCATGCTTCTAAAAACACACCCTTGTTTATGCCCATCCAGAAATGGAGCAGCAAAAAAACTTCATGCCTATATGCTAGCTATATAGAGAAGGTAGTCGGATAAATCGGCATGAGTGCATGCTTCCAAAAACACACCCTTGTTTATGGCTATCCAGAAATGAAGCAGTAAAAAAACCTCATGCCTTTATGCTAGCCATATAGGGAAGGTAGTCGGATAAATCGGCATTATTGCATGTTTTAAAGATACACTATTATTTACAGATATCCAAAACTGGACCAGTAAAATAATACCATGCTTTTATTTTATTTATATATAGAAAGTTAGTGGGTAAATTGGCATTAGTGTATATGTACTTGAAGCATATTATTAATTTATACTTAAATAGTATCCAGAACTAAATATTTAAAGGGGGTATAGGGGAGGAGAAAGCTCTTACTGCACAAGACAATACTACTATACAAGTAGTATTACATTGCACAGGTATCTACTTGGTTAGTTTTGCTGTTCACTGGGTGCGAGCAGCCTAATTTAAAAGAGTAAGGTTACACATCTGGCGCAGACTTTGAGAGTGTGCCATATTCAGCTAAGCATTCGTTGCTTATTTGTTTATTTATTTATATATTTTAAACTACAGTCAAAGGCGAAATGGGTACAGTATCGTAAATTAACTATATAAAGATTATAAAAAGGGTTTATTTTAATTATATTATAGCTTAATACCCCTGTTATTTTTATACTTTATAAGTACTAGTATAATTTATAAAATAATAATTAATAGGGAAAAAAATCACTTTTTAGACATTTATTAATAAATACATTCTGTTTTAGCTCTGGGTTAATGTTCTAGGTACTTCTAGTACTTTAGCAATATAATGCCTGAGGCGCGCCCTAGCGCTATATTAAACCAGCTACAGTTGTATTAAATGCTGGCTTATTATTGTTTTGTGCAAAAACAGCTTCCTCTTTCTCCACACACTTCAAAATTCGGTACATGCTAACATTATTATTTTCCATTAAAAAAAAGCTAATATAGCATATTACTTGTGAGAAAAATCCACATGCCAATTTTCAGCTTCGCAAACCATGGATTTTATAAGTTATTGCAATATCAAATCCAAGAAGAATACTAAATACCTGAGTCTACTTCAAGAGACCCGCCTTAAGCTTTTCTAAGGAATTCGCGCTAGTTAAATACAGCCATTTTTAGCTACACGGCCCCGCAATTAAGTATTGAAAAGTACTTAAAAGTACTCTTTCATGCCAAATTTTGAAAATAGTGTGGAGAAAGAGGAAGCTCTTACTGCACAAGACAATATAATTAAGTATAGATTCGCGACACTTATTTCGCCTTTTACTGTAGCACAACCCCCCCCCCCCCCCCTCCCTTCAGCTTGATGCATATTCCTACTTGTAAGTGCGGAGTGCATCGTTATCTATCTAAATACTACCAGCCAAATTTTAGACCTGCCTTACCCATTTGTTAGATCTTTGAGACAGTTTCTCGGCTGCTCACAAATAGTACAATGTATAATAACAATCGCCGCACGAAGATGTTCTATGCCGATATCGAGCGTAAGCAACTAGGTAGAGGGGTACAGGCGCCTACCGGTGCGCAGTTATCTCCAGTAAATGATAGAACTTTAGAGGGTTTATCAACTAGAGGAGTACGATGGCCTACCAATGAGCCGCTAGATATAGTAGAGGAAAGGAGCAATGCGTCTTCCACTGACCGACCTCTCCAAAAAGCGGAGACCATCGCGGAACCGTCGGAAGAAACATTCAAGCATCCACTTCCCAAAGCACACAAAGACCAATACAAGGGGAGCGTCACTCTGTTAGATCTTGGGGGGGAAGTCAGAGTAGTGCAAAAGAGAGGGCTCTCGGAGCTTTACGCTGCAAGGCAGCTTCATAAGGATAATGTCCACGGGATTATTTCTCAACTCAACGACATACGACATGAAAATCTTGTCGCCGCCATTGAAACATTTACCGAGGGCAGCAATTCCTATATTGTCATTGATAAGATGCTACTATCTTTGCATCAGGTCGTCAGATCGCCTCCAATACCAAGCGCTGAGGAGATAGGGGTAATTATGGGCCAAGTATGCTGGAATCTTTCACTCCTGGTCAGTAATAGATGAGCATAAACTAACGATCTCTTATATATGCAGATACTAGATGGCCTTATATACCTTCAGAATAAAGGACTAGCTCATGGAGCGCTAAACTGTCTCGGTGTTCTCATCGACGAGACTGGCAACGTAAAATTGAGTATGTATTGACCAGCAGAGCAAATCTACGTTTACATTGTAACCGATTGGTACAGCAACCCATGAACTTTTTATTCAAACGTCGCGGGAGGCGATAGCCAAGGATATGAAAAGCATTGCTGAAATCTCCATGATGTTGATGCAGAAATACAAACTAGATAACGGAAAGGTTGGTGTGGAAAAGGTTGAACCTTGGAAAAACTCGGGCATCTTGGATTTTCTATCCTATACCACATCGTGTGAAGGATGCGTTGATTTACGGCAGGTTAGTTTCCATCTCGCCCTGCCAACTTCGAACCTTTTGTTCTGAATAAATTAGGATCCATTCATTTCTAGTCTCTGGAAAAAAGGCTTTGGGTGGCCAAAGGAGAAATTACGTGGGCTTGTCGAAATTGCTAGGCTCACTGTCCCGCGTAACTTTCGATATAACGAAAAGTCAGCGATACACAGCCGTCATTTTGAGCCTACCCATCATTTTTCAGCTTATGGAAGATGATGAGAATGAGGAACACAAAGCGGCGGCCGTTAGTAGTCAACACAACAAAGGAAATCTGCTATTTATATCCGGAATTGTATCTTCAAACCTTCTATCAGGATGATTGCGTTATACCTTGTAGTGGCACCTTAACGCGTGTAGTATTATTGAGACCGTATAGTGACATTTCTAAATACCTAGATCTCAGCTCCTTAAAAATATAGAATACTAGGATGGCTAGAAATATGTAAGAGGGTGCGCTAATGCCATTCGTGTGAACGCCCGCCAAATAACCTATCCTTGGATAGGTTTTTGCCTGCAACTCGCATAATTTATGGATAAAGGAGGCTTTAGCTAGCTTAATAAGGGAAGCATTATCGTTTTGCTGAGATTATGATGTGTTATGTAAATCTATTATATGGAGCATCTGCTCTATATCTACCAATTGCGTTATTTGCATTACACTTGTCTATACCCTTGATGACGGCGAGCAAGCAATTCCGGATCATACGACGTTTCTGCATCGATCTGTGTAATTCCGCAGCGTTACCTTGCTTAAAATGCGGAAGGGAATCCACTTTGCCCGCCTGTGTCACTTTGTGTAACCTCTGATCCACGATATGTGCGCGTCGTGGATTAGGACGATAAGGGAGCACTTGTTGGCCCAATAATGGAAGCTTTGCCACTTCGGTAGGCCCATTTCCTCTCTTTACATTGGCACCCTCTTCTGAAAACAAATTCTCAAAGTCCTCAAATCCTGCCCAAGATGTTGTATTATTGTCTTCTATTCCATCACAGCCGCCAAGGTCAATGCTAACCCAATCTTGTGCTCGATTATCATTCGTAAAGCCGCTAACCTGAGAAGGTTGAGCGCAATCTTGCGCGCTATTGGAAGAGTCGGGTATCTGGTTCACGATGTGCTTTGTTGTGTCACCGGATTCCTGCTGTTGGTTGACTGAGGTCTCAGTTATGGGACTGGAGTTATGTTTTTCACTCTCTGCTGAGTCTGATTCACTCTCATCACTTGCATCGTCGACACTTATGTCATCAGATGTCTGGAGACCACCAACTTGTTGTGATGATTGTTGTGTTCGCTTCGCTCCCATTTGTGCGCTTAATCTAAATTGTCGTAGCCTTCTTTCGCGGCGCTTCCGATCTTTTCTTTTAGAGGTCGCATCTGAAAGCAATTTGGCTATCTGTGACTGCATTTAGCTATTGGAGCTTGCGTTTTGACTAAGGGAATTTGCTGACCATCTCCTGCAGGTTTGGCGGCGGCGTCTCTCCGGCTGGGACATGGGCCGTGCCCTTGAGGACTCGATGTGTGGGGTCAAAAAATAAATGCATTGCAAATACTCGTGCTTTCATTCCCAAGGCCATTGTCTTACTAATAAGGCTAGGCCCACTTTTGCGAGCCTTTGCCTTTTCCTGTGTAGTATACTCCCGTTGAACATCTGTAACTGACTCCATGTTGATAGTATCCAATTCCACATCGATGCTTGTCATAGTGTGTACAGAGCTAAACCAGGAGTATAGTATAGTCGATATACCTCAATGGAAGTGGCTGATTAGGGTTTCGAATCGTTTGATGCTATCTGTCTAGCTTAACTTTATTATCCGGGTTCTATTACATAGTTGACTTTTATTTTGGATTAACTAGGCGGCCTCATATACTGTCCAAAAGCTGCCAACGCACTAACTAAGGCTAGACCAAATACAATAATTAGCTTCTTTGGCATTTTTGGCCACGGAAGGGACGGAAGACTAGCCTCGTCTCATTCGACACCCTGCACCCCCTTCCACCCCCCTCTCCACAGAAAAAAAAAAAGCTCACTTTAGCAATCATTTCAGCATTTACTCTCTTAATAGGGGTCGTGTTCTTTGGGAGTGCTCTTGCTCCCTCGTGCAGCTTAGAAAGCAAGAAGGAGGAGCATCATTTAATCCATTTCTGGATCCTCATTTATAAACACTCAAAGTTATTGTAAAAGAAGCAGAAGCTATATTTTTGTCTAAGGCATCAGCACGATTAGTTATCTAGCCTAAATAAGGACTACAGGGCGTCTGAATTCAGTTAACTTATTATCTATACATAGTGCTTAAAACTCGTAGAAACGAAAGCCATATATTTTGCCTTTTCCAGACTGTTTTCAACAATGTTCACAGGAAATCATCAACGGCTGAGAAGAGGGGGAGGATATGGGTTACAGACGCAACAAATAAATCAGAATGGGAGAACACAGGAGAATCCCAATCGAAATGCTCAACAACCAAGTGCTGACCGATTTAGTGACCTCGCGGCGCAGGTTGCTCAATTCCTCAGTCAATCTGGAGGTGCTGACCGATCTGGCAATTTCTCAGCGCCACAGGTTGCTCAATTCCTTAGTCAATCTGGAGGTGCTGACCGATCTGGTAATTTCTCAGCGCCACAGGTTGCTCAATTCCTTAGTCAATCTGGAGGCACTGACCGATCTAGCGGCCTCGCAACCCAACAAATTGCTCATATCACTGATCAATCTGGAGGCGCTGGCCGAAGTGGAGATCCCACAACCCCGCAAGCTGCTCGTCTCGTAAATAACGATCACGGGTTGAATGATATAAACAGCATGCAGTATGTCGCTATCCCAGTCCAATTTAACCTCTCCATTCGTGGCTAATTCTAAGAAGACCTACTGAACACGATCTTGTAGTTCAGTAAGTATTAGATATTTTATTTTGCTCAAATATGCTAATGCGACTTTCAGATTAGGCGCTAGAGTTGAGCGTCTAGAAACAGAGTAAGATTTTCCAAAATTTCTACGTGAAACACAGCAGTGCTAACAGTCAAAGAATACAGCACCAAGGCCGACTGTAAGACGATACCAGAATACATACTTTTAACAACTGGGCTAACCTTCGTTGAAGCTTACAGCACCAAGAACGATTGTAAGTTTTCTCGATAACGTGGCCCTCCTGTAGCTCCAGCTGACAATTTGGCGGATTAGGGTTATTACTCTATTTGAGGAAAGGGATAGGTAAGCTGCAGTAATTTGGAATGCAGATAGAATCTAACGTGCGAACTAGATACAAGCAAGGGATGGAGGAGGTGAAAAGTAAGATAGATCAACTAGTAACGGAAATGTATCCCACCACCGGCGTAGGAGAACAAGATGCTACCGTTGATCCTAGTGCACTCACCTTTCAATAACTCATGAAGGAATTAATAATATATAAACATCCTCAATAGGCATGAACCAATTTTGTAACTTTCTCTTGGGAATAAACTCCTGCCTGCTTCACAAGCTTGATGAAGAAATAGATTATTCTTGCAGCTAAGAATGCAATCGTTCTTCTGCCTGACTGAGCTGGTTTACTCTCTGAGGGAATATAACAAGCCACCTTACCCAACGCAAAATTTTCATTCTAGGGGAATAGCGACAGCAAAAATTTCTTGCGGAATAAGCCGCTGCCACCCCGGCCCGATGAATTTTAATTGGCCCCGCCCACAGAGTCCTCGCTAAACGCAAGCAGTTAGCCATTTATCGCGAATGACAAATCTCCATGTACAAGTATGCGTTCGGTTTATTTCAATCAACTGTCTAGCCTTATCCAGGGTTTTATTAGCCATAATCGTTGATCGAAGATAAACAAACGGCAAACGTGACCCAGGTTTGCACTGTAAAACTTCATTGCATGTGATGAGCGCTGTATGCGAGGAGTACCATTACCCTAATCAGTTAATATATCAATACGAAGTTCGTTTTCAGGGTTTAATTTAGCTCGCAGACTTACGCATACTACCGGGGCTGGTGGGGACAACTAATGGTCGGGCAAGGTGTTGTTTGAAGGAGCCATCCAAAAGTTCGTATTCTTAATCTAGCTTAGTGTTGCTGCCTAGCTGACTCTAACAAGCTGACCTGTTTCCGTGCTAGTGGAGTAGAAATAAATGATTACCAGAAACAGAATGCACCATGACCTTGATTGGCTCTTAGCAGTGCAGTATATGATCGGAAAATGTTTCATGGATCGTTAACCTTAAAAAGGATGCAAGATTAGAAGAATGATTGAGTGCTAAAAGAAGTATGGATGTTCTCTGGAATTGGATAATTGAGCCGACTGCCATTAAATTGCGCTCAGTCTCCACAGCATACGGCGTGGCTGGCTGTTGTCTGCAGGCATGACAAAAGAAAAGAACCAACAACATTCCGAAGGCCAATAAGAGATGTTTCCAGTCTACCGGTAACGCATCACAGCCATTCATTACAAAGCCAATTTCATTTAGGACCACTACGGATTGTAGGTGAAGCCTTCGTCTCGGCATAATAGCGGATTTCATCGAAAATGGCGTGACACACTCGCATGTTGTTGGTCCCAGCCATGGATTGATGGCTAGGCAAAGTTGGATGAGAACACATTGCGCACGCGTTACAATAAGAATTTTTTTTTTTTACGCAGAAAAGAACGCAATACAAGTATAAGGCTGAACTTTTCGGCATCTAAGAAATTCTGTCTACTAGGATGCCAAGAGCTAGCCTACTAGATCTGATGTTAGGCTCCATGACTTGATCGCCATGTGATATGGTGTGTACGCTAGAGTAGGTATTGGTAACGCTCAAAGTAAGTGGATCAGGTCCACATAGACTAGTGAAAGATTACGATGTAACCTAGGTTGGTAGGCTGCCCGCTTCAGCCACAAAAGTGGCAAGCGGGGACTGCCAAAATGAATACGTGCGTACAGAGCTATAACATGAACATCTATTACACTGATTAACTCTTAGTATTGTATCTGCGTGATCCTGCTGAGTGTGTTCGAAATTCGCGCACTCCCTGCTTTTCTGATGTTGAGCAACAAGTGTATAACATGATTGTTGGTGATAACAATCTCGGGGTTTGCTAACGCTATCTCTTATTCTGTTCCATACTAAATAAATTAGCGGCCCACCTAGTGTGTAAAAAAGTGACATCTCAAGCTATTATAAAGAAGGAAATTAAGCGTTCAATTTGGATCTTCTATAAGGCACCATATCCTCCTAAGCCGACGACGTATGTATTGCTTTTTTTTTTAACTTTTTCCAAAAGATCAACAGCGGCTTGAGTACCCCATATCTGTAAAAATCTACACTTAGCTGGCAACTGTAGCCGCCCATATTGCGATATCCACTTTTGTTTATGGAGTAATGTGACAACGCTCCAGGGCTACAAATTTTCAAAGGGTCCTCCCCACATAGGAGGATCTTCAAGCTACTGCATACGGAAGCAAATTGGTGGTGTCCTGGCGCGTTTTCCCCTTGCAAGCTGCTCCTTCAGTATGTCCTTATTATCGCAGATAACTGCCTGAGAGCGTTAATTCTTCTGTCTCTTATTGAATTGACTAACCAAGGGTAAGTCGCTGCTGCGATATCCCTGGCCGTGTGGAGCTTGCAAGAATTAGGTCAACCGAATTGACCGATACTGAGATAGGTATAAAATGCCTGGGCGGGTAGTTCATTCAAGTGAGCTCAATACAATTCTCTTCATTTCCCTTGCGTTATCTTTCATTTTCGACTTATTGTCTCAAATCTTTTAATTACGAATACAATGCCTCTTTCTTCACAAAGTCCATCATACTCAAGCAATGGCGCCCCGCCGTTGGGCCACTTTTCATACACTCGGCCCACAATGCCAATATCACAGCAGGCGAATGGGAGGCAAACAATATCGTTGCCGCAGTATAGCCGGCCCACCGGTATTCAGAGAATACCACCAGCGGCAATGAATCAGAGCAATATCGTGGATATGCCGAACATGAATGGCCAGCATATCTCGGAATCCCCGGTCTCGATGGACTCTAGCATCAATCATGCGGTTGGTAGCGAGTATGGCAGTCGCCCCATTCTTGCCATTTCATTCACTGATTAGTCACGTCTAGACCGCAGGGGGGGATTTCTCTTCAAGAGAAGTATGGAATTTGGAATTAGAACCTATTGAGTTAGCACGCTACTAATACCATTCCTAGGATATATAGACAGGATCAAAGGTATGAAATATGGAACAAAGTAATGCTTGGTTACGACGCACTGCTGATGGACTGCTGATGCATCTCCTAGAATAACTCAACAGGATCAGAGGTATGAAAAAGAGGAACAAATTAATGCTCAGTAATGGTACACTACTAATATCATTCCTAGGATAAATCAACAAGACCAGAGGTATGAAATAAGAACAGAGTAATGCTTGGTAACGACGCACTGCTGATGCATCTCCTAGAATAATTCAACAGGACAAGAGGTATGGATAATAGAATAAGTAATTCTTTCTATCGGCACGCTAATCATCTACGTTTAGGATTTTTCAACTTGAAAGCAACCTCCTTAAGAACCAAGACCTATTAATGCAAATGCGCTGCTATTTGGAGAGTGAACAGCCCAACGATGCGCCTCTTTATATGGAGGACACGGATAATATCCCAAATCAAGGGACATTTATCCCATAATTTATTATTATGTATATATAATCACTGGCGTTTATTTTCTAACTAGTAGCTGAGTTGTGGGATTACAGTATTATATTATATACAACTAGATGCGAATCCGGCTTCCTTGTTTACGAACACTAAGTTATAATCAATTCCCGGTGCATGTACCACGATACAGTGCCCGAAATTTATTATATAAACTGTAAACTTCTAAACTGCGTATAGTAAGTATGTAGTACAGTAGCAGGAAGAATAAGCGGAGAGCTGGGACATGTTTGGTACTGTGCACTGTGGAAGCCACTAGGCTGATTATAGACTTTTTTTGCGCAAAATCAGGTACTTCTAGAAACCTGTCAGAAAGCTGATACATGGCCAAAATAGGTGTTTACAAGAGCCAGTCCTTGCTCATATCTCTTGTATCTTTACGTACCCGTAGCGTGTGTTCCGTGCTCGAAACTACAAGAGATAACATCAGAGAGGAAGCCGGTTTCGCATTTAGCTGTAGCTATAAAAAAAACTTTTATTATTTTTTATTTAATTTTATAAATAATAATTATTTATTTATTTATATTACTAATATTTTTTAAAAAAATTTATTATTAATAAAATACAATACAGCAGCGCCCGCAATGAGTGTCCGCTTTGTTAATGTAAAGTTTCTCTCCGCACGGACCATTTTTATGGCGCACTGTGGCTGATACCGTGCGCAGCTTCCGAGCAGATCGTACTCTCAGTGAAGCCCATACGAAGCCAGAACTAACCTTTATTTCTGACGTCAATTGGCTGTCATCTAGGCAGCAACAAAATCGGTCAGTTCATGCCACCAAGAAGCGCCCAGAACAGCCTCTTTTATCGCCTATAAGTGCTACAACCCAACACAATACGGTACAATCTGATGAAATGCGATGGCTCGACGAAACTCGCCCTGATACAAAACAGTTCAAGCAAGCCTGTAGCTGCAGCGACCGCACAATGCTCAGAAAATCCAATCAACATCGCACTGCCCCGCACTATTGAAACAGCAGCTCTCCTGCCGAAGCAATATTATTACCTATTACACGAAATGATTGCACGTAAGCAGCTCATTAAGCTGTCTGATATTCGTCGTATTAGGATATTCTACTACTATAAGACTAACTTGGCTTTTTAATGCCCTCTTAATAATTATATAAAGGAATAAAGCTCAATTCATAATACAACAGAGCAATGGATCATCCCTGAATCTAGGGACGGGCCCCAAGGATACACGCTAATAAAGCTGTACAAAGCTAATGCCGTCAGCTTATTTTCCTTTAACCATCCCATTTAAAGTTAATCTACTATTACCCTGAAGTTATATACCAAGTCTCGGGAAGAACCCTTAGCCCGCCGGCGCCGCAGTCTGATAATAAGCATAACAATTTAAGATCCACTAAATTTACTAGCTTCCATCTGGACGTCGGACAACAACAGCAATCGCCTCGTTTGGACTTCATGGTCTAGACTGAATGGCCTCGTCGTTATCTTGACTGTAGATACCAAGCACAATGGAGGCCTTGGCTAAAGCCTTTGCCCCTAACATTTATGTGTGTATTACAATTTGCGTTGTAGAACGCGTCCACCGGTCTGAGACAATAGGGCCTTCAACTAGTGATGACTTCCCACTGGGCCAATCCTTAACTACAATAATCCAGGTTAGTTAGACTTTTAATTAAGATTCAAGTCGTTAGCTTGCCTGTAAGAGTAGTAGATTTTCATTGATCTAGAAAGGGTGAAGTTGATTGTTTACGCGGAAGTAGGTGTGTTTTTGGATTTATTTCCTGCATATAGTACCCCATTATACCGTTACTCGCTGTCAATCTGTGCTATATAATATTCTTACAAGGCATTTCGAAACAGAATTGCAATTCGCAGCGTTAACCCTACAAAACTCACTATTGCCGGTTGTAGATATTCTTTCCGCTTCTTCTATACATATTTCTTACCAGTTGTGGGTGCATTTTTAATGAATTGTTAGAGAAATGACGCGACAGCTCGTCTATAGGAGAATCTTGAATATTGTATTCTGCAAAAGGCTAATCACATGTACTCTATTACTCTATACCGGTTTTAACTACTATAGAAGGAACTAATACCTTACAGTAAGATACTTAGGGCTAGAAACATTTTAATTATCCTCCCCGCTTTGCAGAAACACGAGCGTTACAAATGCTGCTTCGCGGTTGACATCACGCACCCTGTCTAAATTGTCAAAGAAGTAGTACAAGGAATGGGAACTGACAATCTCGGCTGAAAATTAAAATAGCGGATAGTTAAAGTTGTTTACATTATACAGTAAGACGCGTAGTGGCGAGCTGCTTGCGGTAATGAAACTCGCATTTCACGGTAGCATTTAAGGTTGACTAAGCTGCAACCCCGCACAGCCATTCCCCTCAATGTAAACATCACGTCGACGCGACAAGCATCCTATATAATACACTATTTTACTACACACTGCCACATATATTGCGCGAAATTTACGGTACCACAGTACTACATCTAAATCATTCCCCCCTTACTCCTAGTGTGTGTATATCCAATTTGTATCTGATGCCGTCGAGTTTGCAATGCAACGACCAGGCGCGCCCACTAAAGCGGAAGAAGAATGGGCGCCTAGCGGATGACGATGAAACGACGCGACAAACCAAGCAAACCCGACGCGATGGCCACAGCGAGGCACACTCCAGCCAACAAGAAGATAATTTATCAGAAACACAATCTAAGGAACAAATTGAAGTGCCACAATGTAGGCCGGAGGGCCCTGAAAACAAGCCCATAGGATCTTCGAACACCGTGCCGTCATTCCCCCTGGAGAGGGATACTTTTCCTCAAGAAATCTGGGACCGGATCGTTCAGTATTTAGCGGAAATATCTGAAATTAAATGGTCATGCGAGTTGCATGATAACCTGGACGATCCGTACCTTGACCTTGATGGAGAAGAAAGGCGTCTCGTCACAAAGACCCTCCACAGCCTGACACTAACAGGCCGAATTCTATATCGATCTGCAATAGAGGCGCTTTATCGCTCTATTTGTCTTCGAAGTGCAAAGTCTGCCGCCCTCCTTTTTCGCACCCTTAAGAACGATACTCTCTTCCGCTACAATATTCGCGACTACATTCGCGAGCTTATAATTTTGGGTCCTCTGGCAGAGTACAAGTGCTGCAAAGTGTTGGCAGCTCAAGAATGGCCCAATAAAGCATCTTCAGACTCTACAATTCACAAAGCCATTGAGCGATGGGAGAGCTGGAAAGGCCTGGGGCTTCACCGCAAAGATAAAGACAGCCTAGAGCCTATTGTGGCGACCACGATGATGGCAGAACTTTTCCGCATGTCTCCTCAATTAAATACTCTTGCTATTAGGGATGCCTTCATCCTACGCCATCTAGCTTATGAGTATCTGGACGTGGCCTTGTCCAGGATGGACCGGGAAGGAAAAAAGGACAAGGATGAGAACAAGGCGCATGTATTTCCCAATCTCTCAACATTTGTACTGTTAGGAGCAAGCGATGTCAGTCAGGCTGACTGGACGCCATCGACTAACTGGACGCCATTGATTCAGCAACATTCAAAATGCGGCATTAAGAATTTGCGCCTCAAGCATATAGGCCAATCCATCAAGGTGCCATCTTCTGTTAGGCACATCCAGCTCGACTACGGGGTACATGAAGATCTGGGCTTGAGTCAAGTTAAAAATACTCTCACATCGTTGGAGATATATTTTGGCGCAGAAAAAAGGGTGATTCATAACCAGCCCACATACCTCAAAGCACTCCCTACTAGTCTTACAAGCCTACGGGTCCATTCTGGTTATATCGCCTCCTATGCAAGCATCAGCTTTCTTTTAAAGCCGTCTATGCTCCCACACCTCTCGAGTCTTGAAGTGCCCATGGCACTCTTATTTGAAAATCCTGGTGTCATGCAAAGATTTACAGGGGTTACAGACCTTTTCCCCTCAACTATTTTATCGATGAAATTACTGGAGGTTTGGCTAGAGAGTTCGCATTGCTGCGATAATTGCGATGACTATGGAGACAAAATGGCCACCTTCCTCCAAATCGTTACTAGGGACCTGCCACAGTTGAAGTCATTAGAGTTTCGAGAACAATGGGAGCACTGGCGCTATGCTCTCGCAGATCAAAAGAAGAGGCTCCCAAAAGTTGTGATAGCTCCGCTGTTTCCCGAAACATCGAGCGTCCTATGCCAACGCGCTTCCGTTTATATGAAGGAAAGCACACTCACTGCTCTAAGTCTAGTCTCTAAGGCCATTGCTCTCGAGCCTCGAAACCGCAAGGCCCAAATACTTCTAGCACAGATCCAAGCCAATTTAGGACGCCCAGAAGAAGCCGCCAAGACCATCGCATCCATAGGCTCCCCGGTACACCCACGCGTTACGGATCCAATAGAGCGTATGCTTGCTCATGTGAATACAGCCAGGGAGTGTTGGCGTGAGGACCCAAAGAGGGCCATATTGGCCCTTAATAGAGCACTGAAGGATCAGCGTGAAGACGATAAGCCCCGTGAATTGAAACTTATTAAGGCCAATGCATACCTACTTTTACTCCCGAAGGAAGAGCGCCACAGCTCTAACGCATTGAATATCGCTCGTGAACTAATAAATAAGAAAAAAAACGATGTGGATGCCCTTTTTCTTGCGGGAAAGGCCAGCTGCGAGCTGAGGAAATACGGTGACGCCGTCAATTATTTTCAGGAGGCCAATTGCTACGACCCTAAGCGATTAGATATAGTTGAATGGCTCCGTGATGCAGAAGTTCAGAACGGGGTTGTATAGTCTGGATTATTAAGGAACTGAACTCTTATATATATTTTATAGTATTTGTACACACTATGCATATTCCACCATGTCACACGATTGGCAAACACGATTCACTTCATCTTTGACTGAGCGTAGTGTATCAACATTCTAGCTTGCTTCTATAGTGTCTAATTTATGGCCAACCTTAAACAGGCTGCTCGCCTTCCGTGATGTAGTTAGCTTCTGGCATCTTACACCTGTTCTCTTTGACACGGCTATATCTTTGGCAGCTATCTCCTCTTTTGAGCATCGGCTGTGACCCTGATTATTAACCCATTTATGCTTATTTTTATAATGCACTTGTACGACGTGTTTTTCCCGGGCTACGTATAGGCACTTATTACGACCTAATCCATCTGGCTTGGAGGCTAAAAAATAGATTGGTTCTGTTGTTGGTGGAGGATGTCGAAAGTCGTGATATTATCTACATAAGCCATCTTAGTCTTAGGATTAACCTTATGCTTATACTCTTGATCTCGATATTTTAGAGACGTTAAGCGTAAACTTGCGGTCCCATGGTATTTTATATGCCTCTCTTCTATAATATAAGAATTTACTATTCTATTATATAACCGTCTAAGAACGATCCCTAGAATTATTTAAGCGTAATATCCTAAGGGTCTTGTGTGGTTGGTTCGTAACAGGTAATGTAACGAACCGTACACTAGGTAGTTAGTATAGGGTAGATTCCCAAGGGACAAACCTAGAATAAGTTCTTCGGGTTTATGTTGGTGGATGGGTTAGGAAACCTATGGGCAAATAATATTACAACAAGGTCACCAGTAGGTAAGAGTTAGAAGTGCATTCCAACCCTGATCCCGTGGATGTGCCTGTGTGCTAACAACTGGTTATCTAAGTTATTTAAATGAGTGTAAGAAGTGAACTTATATATCCAGTTGACTGGATGTCTCGATGCACTCGACGATCAAGTTCATCGAGTTTTACTCGTTCTACTCAATGTTCGATTCCTCCAGCAGTGTCTGATTGGTGGAGCGGAATTACTTTAATCCGTTCTCGCCTACCCTATAGGCCCATTGTTGTAACCATAAGAGACAGATCGTCACCCACAATGCTTATATAGTTAATTATCCCTGACACCTCCTAACTTAAACCATATGTAACGATCCGTTATACCGTTAAGCCAAACAGGGCAAAAGATTAGGCTAATAACCACTATTGTAGCAGTTACTATAACGGAACCAGCTGCCTATAAGGGTTTTGCAGTTACGGTACACCAGGTCGTAACACCTTACATTATTACCTAATTTTTAAAAATCCAGTAACTATATATATACCTCTTTATTTAAATTAATTACCTAAACCTTATTTAATTATAGCTTAAAATATATACTATAAATTAACTATAGATTAAATAATTAATTATATATAAGTTAATAATAGTTTAATATGTATTAACTTTTATATAGAATTAATATAAGTTAACTATTAACTTTAGTTAACTTTATAAATATAATTTATCATATAAAAATATATATATATATATTTATTAAATAGTTTAAATAATTAGTTATTAGTAATATATTAGTATTAAATATAAGTAATATTTTATTTATTAATTATATAACTATATAAATATATTTAACAGGATATTCTATTCTATTTGCTAATATAAATATATATATTTATTCCTTGGGAATTTCCCTACCTTATAACAATAACCTAGGTTCAAGGGAACGGATTATTACAGCTAATATTTTATAAATAAGCCTTTAACCTACCCTATAGCTAGGCTTGCAAATAAACCCTACTACCTACCCCAGACCTAGTTCTAGCAGGAAAATCCTGCTTAAAAGGCCCTTACCCTGCAGCTTAAGAAGTAAGCCTATAAGCCTATTAGCCTATAAGTATAAAAGTAATCTTTCTTTTTAAAACTAAAAAAAAGATATTTAAAAAAAGCTATTAAAAAATAAATATAACAGGTAAAATACTTTAATTTCCTTTATTAGCTATATATTGCAAATAATAAAAACTATATATATATTATAAATAAAAACTAGTTAGCTCCGACCGACTGTTAGGCCCCATAAGGGGATTTTGGCTAAGCCACGGTCGCTAATCACAAACAAACAAACAAACAAATAAACAGAGAGAGATTGTAACAGGTAATTAACCCCTCTACCTGGTGTCTTTTTGGCTACATAAGTACAATTGGATGCATTAATATTTGTGTGAATCTATGTAGATCTAAATTGCCTCTTATATATATTTAAAAATCGTCAGTTAGCCTTGCTATATATTTCCTGGGCTGTATATAGAACAAAAGATTATTCCTACTTCCAGATTCCTCTATATATATATGCAACAATTTACCATGGGATGCTTCATCAGTAGAATTTCAACACTTCATCAAAAAGAAGAGTTACAAAAATCAAAAAATCGGATAGATAGGCGTGCATCGGTAATCAGAAAGACAATTGACATACATCAGGACTTCCTCGACAACCCGAGGTTTCAACGATCAAGGGCTCCCTCTCCTGTAACTGATCTCTTTGGTTGCACAACACACGGTAATTAAGTATATCAAAAAAATTGGAACAGAGTAAGTGTCCTAGCTCTTCACGTCGCTACGGTGCCCGACTAAGAAGCGGAATTCGACCAAATATAGTTGCTTTCCCTTAATTCATGCCTTCTCTCCAGCACCATGACAACGCCGATGAGTGCTCCTCACTCAGAAAGTTTCACTGAACCAGACGCTATTGTAGTTATGCCTGAATCCGATGGCTTTATTATTAGTATTTCAAACGCCCTATCTCCTGGCGCCGTACTTTCACTGCCCTCTACCCTCGTCGTAGATTCAGGAACTATGGCCACTTTCTCAGAACCACAATACGTCGGCACAGCTAGACCCTCGGCACAGACTAGGATAGCTGAGCCTTCAAGAACGAAAAATACATCCAACACCATGGGGAATTCATTTACAGCTCATAAAGTTGTTATTATTGGCATTGCAGTTAGCCTTGGATTGGCGTGCGCTTTCTCTTTGTTTACTGGGGCGGTTAAATACCGGAACAAAAAACAGGCAAGCAGTAAAGTTGACTCGGCTAGGAAGACCAGAGATTCTTTGGAGATTCGTTGTATAGGAATAAACCATAATGTACTAACAGAAATTTCACCTGCTAGCCTATCAAAAACAGGAGTGACTGAAACCAAAGAGCCGCTACAGACAGCCCAAATAAATAAATAGGAAAAACGTGAATAAAGTAAAACAGTATTTTATATGATTTTGTTGTAGTCTTTGCTAAGTGTAAAATGTAACACGTCTCCATTCCAATGCGCCCACTAGCTGTATCTCATCTCTTCTTTTTTTCGCATCGGCACCAATTCATTTGTTTTCCCCATTGCCTTGCTCGATTGATAACTATCTCGTCTCTAGTCCAATCCCCGGGGCTAAGCCTCTCAATTCCGCTACTAGTAATGATGCTTCGTGCATGTGTTGCAAAGCAACTTCCCGAAGGAAGCCTTTTATTTTTGATATCATTCATTGCTTCGTAGAGACGCTCAGGGCTCAGTACTTCAAAAGTTTCGTTGCTGTTAGCTTGTGCATCCAGCCACATTCTGTAATATGATAAAATTGCCGTATAAAACTCTATCCAATCTAGGGCTGCCGTGTTTCCGTGCGCAACCTTGATAACTATAGAGTACCAAAGCCTCATTGGACCCATCGGTAAGGCATCGAAGCAGGAATTTTCACCATGTCTAAGCGTTAAACGGCCCCCCATCGCGGCTGGGAAGCCTAAAAAACGAAATTTCTCAATCTTCTCGATAATAGTAAGGAGAGACATCCGAAGGGCCTCTGGCTTTATGAAACGCGGGTAGCTAAGCGTCAATGTGTTGTTTTGCCTTGGTGGGGACGAATAATTATTAAGAGGCCTATTATTGGCCTTAAGACGAGATTTACTTTGATGCATGGCTATAAGTATTATACTGTTGCGAATAGGGAATAGAGCTTGGCCTTGTAAAGTTTTCTTACGTGCTAATCGTCCTATTTAAGTAAATGTCAACCTGTTAAATTTAAGTATACAGTCTTGTGCAAAATGCCCTTCCGCTTTTTAGATATTTCCTCTTTAAGTAAGTGGTAGAAGATACTTGAGAGTACATCGTCAGTACCTAAAAAGCCAAAAGTGGATGGTCTAGCTCTATGTAACTCTTTGTAAAGAGTATCCTCGTACTAGTGATCAGGTACTTCAAGGTTCCTCATATTTATTGGTCAGCTGCGACAGTGCGACCCGCACATGCTGATACCTTTAGAACTCTTGCCTCCTTTGCCACCCCTGATTAGTGGGATTCTCGCTTGGTTATACAGCTAATAACCGTGATATTCAATCATTACCGCTAGGAACCAAACCGCGAGCAGAATGGGTTTGATGCGGTTCATCACGGAACCACCATCGCTTCACTATCCTACGCAAACTCCACATGGCTGGAAGACATCCTGCCACAATTCCAAGGCATGGCTCTATGATTGAGCAAATCGCGACGTCACTACGCGTATTAGCAATTACTCGAATATATGAGGCAATCAATAGTTCGCTTACACAGTCTCAGCGAGAAAGTTTGCGGAGACTTCTAAAATCCGAATATATGGTATTCTAACTATCATTACAACACCAGCCCTGCAGAATTAGCGAGTTATTATGGTTAATAAAGCATTGGATAACTCACACTATACCAAAACTGAGGAGACCAAGAAGACTGAAGTGTTTTAACGATCCGAACTGGCCTCTCCAGAGCGTCCAAATTGGTAAGAATCCAAGAATACAGTCGCAAAGGGCTGCAAAGACGCTGTGGCAGATTGCAGCAACTGGCACTCGTTTTGAATTCCGACAAGAACCATGCGCATGATTTTCTTCAAACTGCCGCCAATAGAAGGGCACGGGTGAACATTGGAAAATATTAATAAAGAGGTATACTATAGTAAAAGCCCACATAAGACTCAGGGAAGCCAATATAATAGTCTTAGCCGCACTCGCTTTCGTAGTTTTAGCTGAGAGACGAATAATAAATATGCCAATAGAGGTCCTGACAAATGCGGATAGCGGCCCATAAATTGATTCGCAAACATACCATGCCGCGAGTGCTATGCGAATCTGGGAAGCCGTTAAATCCGTGACTGGTTGGCCTATGCCTCCTAAAGCAATGCCATATATTACAAATATACTTTGCGTATTGTAGAGAAACTTTCACTGGGTTATTTTTATGCTATGATTGGGAAAACTGTTGGACGTACAAAAGCTAAATACATAAGGTAATCTTCCCATTTATTTCCATCTAGAACTTGAGTTTTCGTGTAAAGCCGAAGACATACTGAAATCCACGTGAAAGAAAGACATATTATTTGGATAATAAAAAGAACTTCACCCTTTCCCTCTATTGCCATTATAACTGATTAATTATTAAATCTTGTTTGTAGCTGTAGTATGTATAGGAAGTGTCGCAGAAAATTTAAAATTTCGACTCAATGAACTATTACATATGCAAAAAATATCTTGAAGCAGTTTATATAAGTAGTAAAGCCCCGTTTTTAGTCATTTTATGTCTCCGCAGTATTCAGCTGTAATAAATCATGTCAAAATTTACTAAAATAGTTAATAAGACAAGAGAGGCCAATTTCTACCCAATATTTTTACAATAGGCTCTGACTACAGAGTGGCCAGAGTACCGCGGTAAATCATAGGTGGATTCTTTTTCCAACATGACTACTTGCATACAGTATACAGTGCACATGCAGATATGTAAGATTGTATAATTGACACTTCCGTCCACTTTCTGTACTTCTTCTTGCCTATCAGACTTCAATAGCTCTTTCTTTAAATAATATGCCTAAGCTATCTTTTTCTTTGGCGATTCTTTCCTGCATTATTCTCTGGGCTTTAAAAAAAAATCTGTTGCTAAAGTATCCTTTGCATAGTCAGCGTAAACAGTCCAAGTTATCCTATCGATCTCAAATGCAGTTTTATAGTAGGGTTAAGCTTCCTCGCCGAATGGCTTTGGGTCTTTTTCATACTTTTGGCGCCCAACATAGATATGTGGATAGAGACTACGAAATTGTGGCATTTGCTTTTTTCGTATTTGCAATAGTTGGGCATGACTGTATGCTTATTACACACATTGTAGTGCTCAATCAGGCATTACAACATTTCAAAGAGAAGGCAAAGAGACCATATTGGCGATCGATGTTATGTACTTGGATTAGCTCTTCCTCTCCACTGTACTAGAAACTGTTTCAGTCGTACAAAGGCAAAATATATCAATGAGGTACGCAAACTATTGTTTTAACCTTAAGTAGATTTTTTAAATAAAACTGAAGGTTCACAGGCGCGCATGTGATAACAAGGCATATTGCCACCTTTCCTGAACGTACTTCCTTCCTGCCCATCGAATCGGCTGGTATGTCAGTTCTTAAAGATCTTTAAGGCTTTGCCGAGGCTGTACATATGTGCTTGGTCAGGCAAAGCTTGATTACTGCTTTGTTTCAAAGTGGCCTTTAGCGGGGCCATTTCCGGACAATGCAATATAATATAGCTGTTACAAATCCAGACAAGGACTCATCAACTAACATTTCCGGAGCATTCATTCAAGGTCTATTTAATATATACGAGAAGGGAAAGATCATAAATCTAGTCCATAGTACATCTTGCGGCTGTGGTATATTCATACAGGTTGAATTTGATCTACTTTCCTTTTTTGTTACCTTTCCCCCTCTGCGGTCGTCTGCTTCATATACTAACTTCAAAGATGATGCTATCTATCTTGGTAGCTTGTTTATTTAATGTTGTATCATGTTGCAATCTAAACTCATCTCAGCTTGGTCTATGGAAAGTTATGAAATGTGATACCGTGGGTAGAACGGCGGAGACTCTCAATGTCACACAAGAGGAGATCGAGAGACTCAACCCGGGTTTGATGCCTTGGTTTATTACACCGGGCGGTCTCTATACAGTACCGTATAACCCAGTCATACAATCTCCGGCGACATGGTCTACAACTCAGAATTGCACGCCTGTGCTTCAAATAGGGTACACAGAATGCAGTCAATTTCGCTCCACCAGAACATCAGGTTCCTTGGCTGAGAAAAATACTCAGATTACGACTGCGAAAAGCACAAATAAAGATGGTGCAACTAAAACTTCTATGTCTATTATAGTGACTCCAGCAACAGTGTCCCCTGCCCCTTCTATCATGCAAACAGGCAGCCCCCTCTGCTATCGTGATGGCAAGCGCGCTAATGAAGAAGCCGTTGTCATGGAATTTGTAGCCGATTTTGCTTGCAAGGCTATGATTAACGAGAAAGTCACTTTACAAGATGAAATAGACAATCGCTCCATCCTCATGGCTTTTGGGAATGAAGATGATTTGCATCATTATTTTAGCATACGCTGGACGGCTGATTGCACAAGTCCACAAAATGTAACACACAGCTGTTCGCAGATCATGTATAAAAATTGGGAAGTTTGTAAGTGAATAAATCATTTAACGGAGGTCTTTAATCTTACATAGAATAAACAGGCAAAAGTTCGAGAGGGGGGTTTACTTCATTTGGATGTTTAATCTACGGGTATGAGGCTCTAGATGATGACCATATGATTTCTTGTGAGGGGCCTTTGAATTCTCTTGGCACGCAAACAGAGTCTTGTACAATTGCCTACTAGGAAATTTGCACCTATCCTGGTACTTAAGTTTAGTAGAAGGCGATATATCTTTATTAAATCGGAAATTAGTCTGGTTACAGCTGCTTCTGTTAGTTGAAGTGTTGGTTGGTACAATGGAAAACTGTCCGCTTTTTTCAACAAAGTTTTTTTCCCATACTTCTTTTGTAGCGCGGGGTAGCATTTCACTATCTTGTATAAAAATCTACAACGTCAAATTTATCTGCGTGCATAAGTTTTTTTACAAACTGCATCTAGCTATCGATGTACTATATGCATTAGCTCCTTTTTTTTTTTATGTTGATATCGCAAAATGTAGTGTGGATCGAAACTAACCGAGGTGCCAAAATCTGTCTCGAGGCATTTCAGCGCTAAGCTATAAGTCGACGTCGCAATTATCATTGACTAGGGGGGAAGGGGTAAAGTAGGTCAGGGGTTGAAATAAGAAGATCCAGTTCTGGCCAAAGCACGGGAAACTGAGCCATTTACAGAGTACTAATAATACTGCCTCAGGCACAAAGGATTCATTAAGTTACTTCCGCTGTTTTATAGGGGACTTACAGTGCTTCATGTTCCCGGGATTGGGGATGGGGACAATGACCTGAATCACTTTCAGACATTGGCTAGGCTATCTCATGTGAAAACGCTTCGCATTCAGCAAAGAAATATTCCTAAGTCAACAGAACTTTACTGTGCAGGGCTGTGCATTTACTACATGAACGATTCAATTGGGACTCTAGGCCAGTGGGATGGTTCGCTTACATTGGATTCGAAAGTGATATACAATTCTACGCCAAATAGACCCCTTGAATCCTTAACCTTTCAATATGGATCTGGGTCTGTGACAAAAAGTTACATAATCGATATAATTGTCAACACTTCTCCTAATACTGCAGAAAGGAAAAATGAAAGCGGACAAAACTTCCACTGGCTCGCATCCAAGCAGCGGGTAAGTGTATAGTTCAAGTAAACTGATGGTTTTACTAATAGTTTTGGGTTTATCTACTGGCGTCTCACCTGGGATCAAAATAATGAGGTAGGATATTTTGATTTGACCAAGATCCCATTTACGCCTAGGATGCAGCTGCAGTTCGAGAACGAGTAGGTAGAGTGAGCTGTCACGGCCAGAGTCTTATGGTCGCAACAATGGGCTTACACGATAGGCCAAACCGGATTAACAATGGACCGATCGACCGCTCAGTGGCGATTCATCAACTCATTGATCCAGAGTCACCAGATTGTTGAAATGAGTCTAGTGAGCCACCCAGGCCAACTGGATGTATAAGTTTAGTCGTACGCTTAGATAGCTAGTTGTTAATACACAGTCAAGATTGCAGTACGATATACTAAATCTTACCTACAGTACTGGTGACATACAGTTAGGAGCGAAATGGGCGTCCTGTTCACACACTCAAAAAAATATAAGCACGGACCATGAGTACCTAATCGCTACTGATATCTACTTGGCAAACTTGCCTATCTGTTACATTTGAAAGTAGCTTACTGTACTGCGAAGTATAATGGATCTGGCAACTTTTGTTCATGTAGACGGTACAGACAGAGTCAATGAATACAAATAAGCACAGCCTAGATACATGCCTCAAACATTAAAGGACTGATGAGTGGGTTACAACTTGAAACTTGGAGGTACAAGCCCACAATTAGCCGTTGCCTTGTTACTAATTATCTAAGAAAACCAGCGACACCCATTTCGAATTTTACGGCACCAGTAATTCAGTAGCAAACGTCTGCCGAGCAGTCACTCAATATGCTTTAAGGTACCACACAGTGGGTAAATACAGAGAAGTATTCATTATTTCTATCTACTATATTTCGCTCCTAAATGTATCACTATAGGGCTGGACCGCTTTTGGTCGCTGTAGATATGTTGTGATATTCACAGCATTTCTAAGCCCTACTGAAGGCCTAAGAGCTACAGTGAGTGTGTGCATAATTGGCTTCCTCTTTTGACACCCCGTTTTTTTAAACAAAAAGTGAGATAAAGAAATATGTGTCAGTCTCAGAGATTATAACAGGGAATATGGCCTCGAACCCGACATCCTAAATACCACCACTCGCCCTAACCCATTACCCAGACCTATAACTACATCCGTTAACGGCACCTGTGGCGACGCAAAAGGCGGTGCATGATGGCATACAGCCGACATGGAAGGCTGGTATTCAGGCGGAAGCCACAATATATTATACCCATTCCAGGTGATCCAACACTTATCGGTGCTTAGGCCGTAGCTAACATGGTTTGCCTTCTCAGCATCATTAGCAATGGGTCGGCGTTGATCCTGATCCTGAGCTAGATCTGGATCTGCAGATGGAAATTGACCTACTATCGTAGATTGGGCCCTAGTTTGATGTTCTATGTCTAATTTTATAGGCCCGATTTCGGTATACAGGTATGAGGCCGTATTGTCGAAGGATATAGTATGAATCGCAGTGGCAACCTTAAGGGTTTGCCGCTCTTTGCCTGTCGTTACATCCCAGATCTTGATGGTGTCATCGTATGAGCCTGAGGCGAGGTAGCGGCTATCTGCTGAGAAGGCTACTGACTCAACTATATCGCAATGGCCCTTAAGTGTTTGCTGCTCTTTGCCTGTTGTTATATCCCAGATCTTAATAGTGTAATCTTCTGAGCCTGAGGCGAAGTAGCAGCTATCCGCTGAGAAGGCTACTGACTGAACCCAACTGCGATGGCCCTTAAGTATTTGCTGCTCTTTGCCTGTCGTTGCATCCCAGATCTTGATGGTGTTATCTTCTGAGCCTGAGGCGAGGTAGCGGCCATCCGCTGAGAAGGCTACTGCCCAGACTACATTGCGATGGCCCTTAAATGTTTGCTGCTCTTTACCTGTTATTGCGTCCCAGATCTTGATGGTGTGATCGTATGAGCCTGAGGCGAGGTAGCGCCCATCTGCCGAGAAGGCTACTGAGGAAACTGTATTGCGATGGCCTTTAAGTGTTTGCCGCTTTTTGCTTGTTATTGCATCCCAGATCTTAATGGTGTTATCTTCTGAGCCTGAGGCGAGGTAGCGGCCATCCGCTGAGAAGGCTACTGCCCAGACTACATTGCGATGGCCCTTAAGTGTTTTCTGCTCTTTGCCTGTCGTTGCATCCCAGATCTTAATAGTGTGATCGTGTAAGCCTGAGGCGAGGTAGCGGCCATCCGCTGAGAAGGCTACTG